GTATGCTGTTTATTACGACAGATTCCTATGTCATTCAATCCTTTTGTATTTTGTATAATTTATCATAGGGAAAAGTTCGAATATTGACTAAACGTATGGCACTTAAGACAGTGGTGTCCACGCTGGTGGCGTCTTCGGACGCTGACCTTGAAACCTATTTCATAAGTAATCAAATATCGCCACTTGTCCATTTGATTAATAACTATTTGTCACGTGGTATAGCACTACAGACGCGCGTAGACTGCGATAACAACAACGAGAGCCACGAGGCAGTAGCAAAAACGCTTTTAGTCGACTCTGGTGCCGTGTTTTCGCTCTTTCTCCGTCTAGTAGACGCCCAACCACAGCTGCTACAGCGAGCAATGGACTGCGGGTTGCTGCACGTAACAAGACTGGTCCCTTTCTGTCAGCTCTGCGGTGTCAAAAACGCTAGTGCGGTGGCAAACCTTTCAGACGGTCTTGTCAATAATTTGCTACGTTTTCGACGACTACGGTGATGTTGCGGCAGTTTTACATTCAGCAACTGCACGACCTCTATGTGAAAGTAGTGCAGGCTAAACGGGACCAAGTGGTGGATTTGATTCGAAGCATGTACGAGTTTAGTCTGTCTTTGGGTGGAATGACGACGGCTACGTCAATGATGAAGTTGCTGCTGCTGGACGGGAAGGATTTGGATATGGAGCTGACACTGCAGGACCAGACGATGCTCTATGGTGTAGTACAATGCTACGAGATGTTATTGCCGACCTTGCATCAGCATGTATCAACTTTTCACGACGAGGTAGTGACTCTGCAGCGTTTACGGATTGTGGAGACGAGACAGATGCTTCTTGAAGTGTTAAGACGCTGTGCAGACGTTTTGATGCACAACATAGACTTGTCTAGTGGAGAGAAGCTGCTGGCTGGTCTGCATGCTTTGAGTAATGGCTGTTTGGACGACGATGCCGAGCACGGGTCGTTCCTAAGTGACTTGTGGTATTTTTGCGAGTACAAGGAATAGGTTGCAGACTATTTCGACCGCTGCAAATTAGATTTGGAAAACTTTTTGTACCTGGACATGCTGATAGAACAACTTCCGCGACGACGCATTCTTCCTACGATGCTGATGGATGATCTGGCTGCAAAGGTTCGTCCGAAGGCATTGTTGTCTACTGATTCAACGGAGTGGAAACCACCCAAGACTAGTGATGTGGCCGAAGACGCTATGCTTGCAAGCTCTCAGGTCAACGACACGGAGGCAATGCTGGCCCCGATAGTACATCAAGTGCAAGACTTCTTCCCGGATCTGGGAGATGGTTGTGTAGAGCTCTGTCTCCTATGCTTTGACCTGCAAGTGGAGGTCATGGATAATTTCTACTGGGAAGTCATCCTGTACCGACCGGAGGCATATCGTGGACCGGCGATAGTGTTGTGGAACGTTGCTAACAATAACGAAAACATGTCTATGTTGGTGCTGCCAATGGATGTGGCCATGACGGATGAAGCCTTATGGAAGTCGAATAGTCGTTTGCAAAGAAGATACTACGACATGGTATGATGGTTTAAACGACTTTTCACTGACATTGCCCGCCCGACTAATTGCTGCATACGATGCATGAATAACGCAAGAAGCTCATGGCGCTGTAAGGCAAGTGCGAGGTCAACGTTAACAAGTGGCATTTTAACGGGTTTGAAGCAATGCAAGTACGATCTCGACCATTCTGCAGAAGCTATCGCAAGAATGTGCCGACTTCATGATTCTGGCTGAGTTAGACGTTGACACCGTTCTAGGCTGTGGCCTTTCAGTGTCTGAGTTTGTTCCAGTCTCGTTTGAGTCGTCGTGGTGATAGCTGTCACGAATAAAACCATGGGGCTGCTCCTTGTCGTCAGATCGGTAAGTCACGACCCGCTGTTCAAATGACAATGTGAAGGCACCATCTTACTAGTGTGGTTTTATATCAAATGTAGAACGCTTGTGTAATATCACCGGCATGGTCTGTTGGTTGGAGTGTTGCGTGTGAAGTCGATTGGCCAGTTGCATGTTACACATTCTGCTCATGTCCCGATCAGTATCTGGGCACTAGCTTTCACAAGACTACGTCATGTCATTGGAACGCTGACTAAAGCGAAGACTCGTTGACAATATACGAGCACTTTAGCTAGCTAGCTAGCTGCACTTTAACTAGCTAGCTGCGTCACTTATAAGTATATAACGTTACTTTTTGCATCCCTTAGTAAGTATAAAGATAACGAAGAACGATATCCAAAGGTTCGGTAGAGTGAATATCAAGAAGGCACTATCTATATACACAAAGTCGTTGTTCTTGTTTTCGTTAACGGTGGCATTCGTACTAATGGTTCAGTATCACGATGGTATTTGCCCTCTACAAAAACTTCAGTAACATTGTGACCATCAAGATTGCTACTCACGTCGCTTTATAGGTTGACCCATAAAGCAGCAGCGGCGGCGTTCAGAGCCAGAGTTGACTACTTCGAGCCTCCCCGTATTGCCGGCACTCGTTTTGGTTGAGGGCAGCCTACTCCAGATATGTGGTGGAGTAACTTCGAAAATTTGTTAGTATTGCAATCTTGCTGCGCAATCGTTTTCAGCAATTTCGTGTTATGGATCATCATAGCGAGATCTCCAGAGAGTGTACCCTGAAACCTTAATCTTTCAACGACTGGATTCGGCAGTGCCTGAAAAAACCTTAATCTTTTAACGACTGGATCCGGCAGTGCGGAAACTCCCTTATTACTAGAGCGAAAAAACCCTAGACGACCCCCCCCCCTCTCCCTCTCCCCTCTCCCTCTCCCTCCCCCTCTCCCTCCGTCCCCTCCTCCTTTCCTCTCTTCTGAATTGGTTCCACGCGATCCAGCATTTACCTTACCCGGTTTGCTATCGATCGATTCAAGTTTGTCCATAGCATTGCATCCATCTTGTCGGCTGTAATGATACTGCAGATAGCTAGCAGTGTGACTGCTACGGCCAATACAAGATGGATTAGGCGCATGTCTTCTCACAGTATATACAGTCAAAGAAACGTTCTCTTGTGGGACTCGCGATGCTGAATGCTTTGTGCCAACACCCAACAGGGGTATGGCTTCACAGCAAATCAAAAGATTAAAGAAATGGAGCACGATCATTTTGAAATGTGAGCTAAAAATTCAAAGATGATACAGTTCACCTGCTGTCGATCACAATTCCAGCTGGAAAAGCTTGCTGTTGAGTGAGTATTGGACAAAGAATGCTATAAGAAACAAGAGTTCAGTTTGTTCTATCGCATCGATTTGAACCTTTCGGCCAAGAACTGATCGTGTATCGTCGATGCGTCGATTCGATCTAAATTTGTTCACAGGTCACAACAGGACAGGCACTACATTATCCCCCTTATGCTTTTATTCCTGCTGCTAGCTTTGCGCTCTGACGCTAGCGTAGGTATAGCTTATGCTTCGCTTGCTCATCCTGGCAACGCCTGCATTTGGCACTGCTTTATTGCGTCCAACTTTCAGAGAACCCGAAGCCACATTCTATTGACCAAGTCTTCGTACGCATGTGTGGTAGAAATGTCACTATTTTCTTACGGGAAAGTCTCATCACGACGATTACGCAGAACCGACTAAACCGACTCACTCACTATCTGTCGCAAAAGGATATGCTCACATTTTGTCAAAAGAAGAAGAAAAGACAACATCAAGCTCTGTTGTACCTGTCTGTTCTGGAGGTGTTTCGACGTTATTTCTTATGCGAAGTTATTAGTCAATGAACAAGGACATTCGACGGCTTGGTATCACATTATACACGGCTGTTCGTGTTCTTGTCAACGAGGGCGTTTCTACTACTAGTATCGTAATAGAACAGCGCGATTGAAAACCAATTGATATATTGAATGTCTGGCATGTTTTCTCGTAGCTAACGCGACGTACTTGAGCCCACTTAGTCTTCTTATAGGTTTAGCAATCGTGATCAAAAGTTGCTACTCTTCGCTATCAAAGGTTTGTTGCAAAACAGCTTCTAGTGCTCAAACCTTCATGTCACTGGTGTCTGTTTGTCTTCACCGACAACCCATCTCCGGTCCAAAGTGGCCAGGAGTATTACTACACCATCTTTTTGAGGGTCACAAGTTTTCTTCCCGATCCTCGTACATTCGTAGCTACCATAAACATACACTCTTGATCATGTTGCTGGTTTTCGTCCTCTGCGGTCCTTTTTCTCTTTTCTCGTGTCGCGGACTGGGCATATCATTGCTGAAGATATTGATCGTTGCCTTGGCAAATATTGCCTATCGACTCGTTAATGACAGCAAACAGACATGAACAGTTGAAAGTCAGATGGCCCATTTCAACAACAGGTAGGACAGGTATGTTGTTTATTACGACAGATTCCTATGTCATTCAATCCTTTTGTATTTTGTAAAAATTGCACGGACAGAGTTCTAATAATTACATCAAAACGGTCTGCACGAGTGTCTAAAGAATACACACTGTGTGTAACCCGCTACAACTTTGTGACCGCACCACAAGATTTCCTACAAACCTGTCATGCAGGATACAACAACGTTTGATACTCTCAGCAATTTGTTGACAAATTAAATGACAGCGGCAGCAACAACAGCAACGTAGTGATTATGGCACCTATGTTCGTTTTTACAGCGTAGTCTGGCGTAATCAAGGCTGCAAGTGAAGTCCATCCATGCAAATGGCGAAGACCAGAGGTGAGTTTTCAATGACACGATTCATCTACCAGACCAATTAACACAAGATACTCTGCTTTTTCTATTTTTTTTTTTCATTTTAAGCTGTACCTAATTTGGGAGCAGCGCGCTGACGCTTGTCGACGTACTGCCAAGTTGGAGTAGTAACAAGCCGCGTACGGCACGTCCCAGGACTCACCTTTTTGCTCAATAGTTCTTCAAAACATTGCAGTAACGCTCAATAGGATTAACGTAATTATTCGCGAAGTTTCACGATAACAATCTCGCATTAACGAACTCTCAGCCCATTTTCTTCATCGCACGGTCCTTTCAATTGTGGTTTGCTATCTTGGACTTGTTCTTGTCTTTTCTTACTCGTTGGCGCTGGATTTGCTGCGGTGTTAGAGGCTCGTCAAGCTTCTTTTCACCGGCTTGCTTACTGTCTTTTTGTCGTGCAGACTTGTGTTTCAGGCCTGAAAGATACTGTTGCCGACCTGGCATCGGCAGGCAAGGCTTTTGCTCGCCCAAATCGTCCTTTTCTTCTTTGTTGTCGCGGTCTTTATAATCATCTCCAAAAATCAGTGGAATCTCACGATTGCGGTTCTTTATGCCATCCCAAAATGCTGCCTTTTCCTCCTGTGCGCGCATTTTGCGGTTTCGTTCACAAATGGCGTCCTGGTCGTGTGCACTACCACCGTCGCGAACACCAAAGGGCACAAAGTCATCAAACTCGTCATTGTAGTCGTCGTCGTTATGGAGATCTGTAAGACAAAGATGCCTTTGCTTCTCATGTAACATTCTTTAGCGACTGCGACGAACCTAGAGCCACCATCATTGTCAATTTATGAAGATCGTGTGCGAGACTTCCGTCATGGCGTTGTAGCTCTAGATAACATCGACGACCGCGACGGAATCGTAGTCACCGCACAGATAGCTCACGATTGGATGCTGGACAAGAACAAGTACCTTGCGATGCGAAATGTATAAGACTCTACCATATCCAAGCTCACCACAACCAAAACGCTTCCAAATTGTCTTGAATGAATTGCACCAAACACATCAATATAGCTTTCACATCTCTGTCGCTTCGTGTCTACCTCTTGGTCTTCCTACTTGGATGCCGTAGTTTCAGACGTTCTTAAGGCACTTGCGATATCTAAAGCCTGCTTAAAATCAGCCCAAATAACTTCACAATCCTCCTGGCCGATGGAAATGCGAATGAGGTTACGATCAACGCCACAAGACTCCGCAAAATCCAGCTCATCATAGTGAGCGAGCAGCGGATATGGACAAGACAGTGTGAAGTTTGTGCCGAGACTCGCACCCTTGGCACTCTTCAGTGCATCGTAAAAAGCCATGGCGGGATCCAGACCACCGTGTAGCAGGATTGACAACACAGGGCCATAGCGAGGCTTGTCCTTTTCTTCCAATGGATTCAGAAAAGGATCAAACCTGTTCTTAGCGTCGCCAAGCATCGGATAGTAAACTTCTTTTACAGCTGGATGATTGAGCAATCTACGAACGATCTCGACAGTGGTCGCATTTGCCTTTGCAAGCCGCTCCGCGAGGTTGTTCGAACTTTCAAGCAAAATGTCAACGTCAGCTTCAACCAGGAACGAGTCACCATCAGGGTCAAAAAGGGACTCCAGCTCCTTTGCCAACGGACTTTCAGGGTTCAATACCACACTGCCTGCCATCACATTGCACGTGCCGCTAAACATCTTGGACAAACTCGTGACCACCAGGTCCGCACAGCCGTGTTTCATTGCGTTTACGTTGTACGATCCGACCGTATCATCTACGACGAGCACAGTTCCGTTATTATGAGCACACTTAGCTAGTCTCTTGAGATCTGGCACAGACAGCAAAGGATTGCTGGGCATTTCGGTCCAAATGCCAAGTATCTTTTCCTTTGCCACAATACTTTCCATCTCTTGCATCTCCTTTTCTCCAAACGTTGGGTAAAAGTATACACCATGAGAACACCATTCTTTTCTCGACAATATCTTGAGCGTATCAACGTACGAGAAACCCACTAAGACACTCTTCAGGTCATTTCCTCGCAGCTTCTGTAACAACCTCACCGTTGAAAAAATAGCAGCCATGCCTGTTTGATGTAGCGCCACCTTTGTACTATCTCCAGACGTCAAATAAAGCTCCGCCACTCGTTTTCGAAGCGCTAAATGCTTGGGAGTATGTCCTAGTACTGGAATCATTGTACAGTCATTATTCTTAAGCGCTTCAAGTAGTTTCTCAGCATGTCGTGACGATACAATCTCTCCTGAATGCTGCCAAAATAGCTTTGCTGTATGGCTAATAGAGCGTGGAAATCGTACGACGTGGACCATATTCTTCACATTATGTACTGATACATCTTGATATTTGATCGAATCAGAAGTACTAGTGACTAAAAAGTCTACAAGACGTTGTGCTACGTCAATTGTTGGTACAATCATTAACTTCCACATATGAATATCATCGTCTGAGAAAATCTGATTCTGCACAAACGTCTCGAGCGCCACTACCAGTGGATGGCGAAAAAAACGAGGATAGCCACATGTTAAGGCATCTAACACTTCTGGTTTTCCCTCCTCATATCCTACAACATGAGACCACTTGGGCAACGATACGGAGATAGCATTGGGATCCTCAGGAGGCAAAGAGACGCCTAGTGGCTGGGGTACCCAAAAAGACATGGTCAAGAATGGAATCAGACGCAATATGACGAGAAGGTTGCGAATAGACGTACGTAAAGTATTCAATTTAAGAGGTCAACATGTTATGTATTGTAATATTTTGAAAAACCATGTTTACAAAGTTAAGTTGTTGACAAATATAGAAGTAAACTTTTTGCTGAATCGTAAAATTTCTCTTAGCTTAGGACTAATTTAAAATTCGTGTCATATTTGCAAAAAACGCTCAAATCACATGAGGCAGCCTGTAAACAACTCTAATGTAGAAACCTACAGTTGGAAAGCAAATGTGTATGCAAAGACTGCAAGCATTGACGTTCATGGAGTCAAGTGCAATAGGAAAAGGAATTAATACTAATGCTATTGTAATCAGTTAGATTTTGTGGTAGTGCTTTCGAATGGTGTCGCAACCTCCGTTTCAAGTGGAGCTGGTAGCATTGAATCAAACGAAAGACGAGTTTTGTTGCAAGCAAATGTAAGTTAAGCTCGGGACTTGTCGATTCGTCGTGGCACTCAAGCTGAACGATACTATACATCAGTCAGACTTGTAAGGTCTGTGGGTGAAGTCGAAGCTGAACGCCAAAGTCTCGAGGACAACTTTTGCGTCCATCTGTTGAGCATTGACTCGACCGTGACGTACCTCAAAGCGCCTGCCTGATCCTTCGTAAGATCGAATGTATCCGTTGAGGCGGTAGTCATTCATTTGAGCTAGTAATAAAGGCGCTATAGCTGGTGCAGTAGATAAGCTGCTAACATGAAACATTGCGTCTTCCTCTGGTGTCCAGTTTAGATCCGAATTCTGCAAGAAGTGTCGTTTCAGGCGTTTTTGGGCATGCAGCTGAGCAGCAAGTATATACACGACATGGGAAGTGTATTGAGTCCCGACGGCAGCAGCAATGAGTCGCTATATTTCTTCAGTACTAGAGCACTTGCCATCTCCAAGTTTCTCTATAGCCTGTAAGATTCTCTGATGTTCGTCTGCAGTCCATGATTTTGCAATCTGTTTGGACGAGATAGAAAAAGCACTCGGTGTGAAGAATGCTGCCCTGGTATCTGCTTCTTGTTCCATGGAGCAAATGGTGACCCTGCAAAGCCACTGGGGTTTTGATAGAAAGTAGCAAATGCAGTAACGAACACAAATGATGATGTAACAGTAACTTCATAGAAAATGTCGCTGTAGGTATCACTTGCTAACAGTCCGTCTATCAAGTTTACATGCCTCCATTAGCTTGTATTCCTTTCTTAGCATTGGCCTCACGCTGTCTCAACAGCGAGAAAAACAAGCCTCACGTCTGCAATCGTCTGCACAAGCTTCGACGCGTGGCAGTACGCTACAAAACCATTAGCTAAACACTGTTGGGAGTACAACTTTGCCGAGCAGATTCACCACATTCTTGTGAAGGGCGTGATTGCAATAGTATGTGACATTGTAAAAAGCACTGACGTGCACTCGAAGAGGGTCAAGAATTGAACAAATCTCGTTTTAGCGTCAGATAAACATATGTACACTGTAGACAAGTCATCGATGACATTGGTATTGTGCGAACTGTAGAGTATCTTCTTGTCGTCTTGTGGCGATTGATGGTTGTTACGAAGCGCTTTCTCTACGTCCTTTTTGTGCGGTAGTGTTGCTTGGACCTGATGAGGCTACGAGGTAGATTTCGTTGGCTAGCAACTTGAACTTGTACAGTATTTTCAAGTAGCTTTGTTTCAATTCGTAATCTCCTTTTGTAGCTATTGGACACCTCTTGCTCATTCCACTTGCTTCCAAGTGACAATCTTCAAACCTAAAGAATCTTAGTGCAAGAGATTTGACAGGTCATAGGACTATCCATATTGGCTTGTCTGAGTGCTTTCTAATCTCTTTAACTAATGCACTACTTACTACCTATCCATCTATCTATCTGATGAACTCGTGTGATGCGCTGCCACGATTCGATTGGCTGATTACGTAAAGTGGCAATCATTTTGTATTACGCTTTCTGAATGCACCAAATCTGAAACTTTTATTAGCTCAAATGTATACTTGAATTTTTAAAACCTAAATTTGAGTCGTCACTACTGTCCAAGTCAAGCCACGTCAATCAACGGTATCACCATTGAGCAAAAGATACTTTCTAGAGAGCAGTATTATTGGTATAACAATAGCAATGAAAACCGCAAGCCGATGGCTCAGCGAGGAGCAAAGCAGTCTTGCAGAAGCCTCTTTGGGTAAAATTATCTCCACAGGACTTTTACTCGGCATTGTGCATGTTTTGACAGGTGTACTAAGGGACCCTTTTGTACTTATCATTGTTCTCATTACGTTAAGCTAATGACGAATTCAATGGATATGTATGTGGACTTGCAATATAGGACCGGATCATTTAAGTGCATTGGCCGCTATGACAACAGGATCATCATGGCGAGCGTTTGCTTTGGGTATTCGATGGGGTTGCGGTCATTCAATTGGTCTTATTTTCATGGCCCTTATCTTCTTTGCCGCTGGACAGACAGTAGATTTGGATGCTGTCGGTAGCTACCTCAATTATATTGTGGGATTTTTCATGATCGTATTGGGTGTATGGACAGCAGTTCATGTACAAAAGAAATACCAGACACAACTGAAGGAAGGGATCCATTCACTAGTGAGTGAAGAAGGTCATCGTGTTGATAGCACCTCTGATAGTCGATGCAGCATAGGTGCCACGTCCACTAATTTTGTAGAGCTCATGCCGCTATCACAGCAACGAGTATCAAGCACTACGTCTCCAATGGATGCTCCACAGCCATTAATGATGTCTCCGGCAATTGAGCACGTTCCAGTTGAGACAATGGACTCATCGTCTTTATCGTTTCATTTGCTGGTTAAAGAAGATGGTGACTCGTCTCAAGCTACAAGTACTCCAGAAGCCGAGCCATTTGTAAACCTATCCAAGCTTCACCTCCGCAACTGGACGTGCTGCCAAAGTATCAACTTCGAGAACCCAGCCACGCAAAAAGTATGTAGCTACTTTGCTTTTCAGATAAGGCATTGCTAACATTGATACATGTAGATCATGGCTCTCCTTGTAGGAATCATCCACGGCTTTGCCGGACCTGGTGGAATTCTTGGTGTGCTACCTGCCGTTGTGCTAAATGACTGGGTTAAGTCTGCAGCGTATCTAGCCTCTTTCTGCATAGCTTCGGTATTCATCATGGGCATCTTTGCGGCCATTTACGGCGAGATCACTGGTCGTCTCGGTGGCAATTCGTTGGCAGTCGAGTTCCGAATCGGCATTTTCTCTGCGTTCTTCTCATTGATCGTCGGCGTTGCGTGGATTGGGCTGCAAGCAACAGGTCAAATGTCTGCTGTCTTTGGGGAGTGATCATCATCAGTGCAATGGCCACAGAAAGCTGATAGTCGCCCATGTTTGCTACAAGACGTAAGTCACTACTTCAAAATGCAGCATTAATCACGGAAGCTCTCGGAAATTCAACGGTCGTACAGCTTCATCTTACGTCTGCCTCAACTTGCATGCAACATGAATATGGAGCACAACGTATTCTCCAGCCCAGTGGACAACGCACTGTAGGTATTGCGGGCTCTTTTGGCATCATTACGCTCTGGCTTACAAATACAAGGGTTATTGCCTAGCGTTTGTATGTTTGTCTGGAATCGCGAATTTGTATCCCACCACCTTGGTGCGTTGGTGGCGTTCTCAAACGGACAACGTGGCGTCAGGCAGTTTGCTTTGATCATACACGGATGAACGTTTGCAAACCGGATAGCTGTCGCTCTCATATGTATCTTCGTAATTGGTCACACTATGGCGCCTGACGCGAATAGTTCACTCTGCGGAAAATGACTCGGCACTGTGCAAAATACCTTCCTCATCATGCAGCATTCATGTATCTACGCGGCTGTTGCTTCATCCCAATCATGTAGCATGGATCTGTGTTGACACTCACTACCGGGCGTACGCATTTATAAATTAGCAGCAATGCACTAGACAAAAAAGCTCAAAGTTTGTCTTCATTAAATGGCACCGTCATATGGTTCATCGACAATGTGCGTCAGCAAGAAACCATCAACAACATTGCTCGTCAAGTCAGAGGTAGTTTCGAATGCCACTGTTGCACGGACACAAAGTCCTTCCTTCACCTTGCAACCTACATTATTATCCAAAGACCTCATCCAACGTTCCTGTCGAGACGAGAATGACCCACATGATGCCTACAGATAGCGACACGCAGGATGAGAAGATGCCGACGCGCACAAGTGATGAGTCCGAGAAGCGGCTCATGCGACCCGTAAGCTCTCCATAGAGTGCCGCGAATCCGCCCATTGTCAGGATGGAGGACAGACAGAACGCGCCGAGGTAAGCGGACGACTTGGCCCAGTCATTGAGGATCACAGCTGGTAGTACACCTAAGATACCTCCTGTACCCGCTAGACCATGAGCAGTCCCATAGGCAAACGCCGTAAGCTTTTGAGTGCTTGGGTTCTTGATATCCGTCTTCACAAGGCCAAAACAGCAAGTGTTGACCGTCATTTGTTCATTGGCAGACATTGGAAGACCTTCATGGTCTCGATGATGATTGTGCAATATCTTTTGGACTTCTGAATCACTGTCATGATCGTATCTTTGTTCTTTTTGATGTGTCAAATGTGTATTCTCTCCAGTCTCTTGATCTTTCTTGAGCTTCAATGTACGACGTAGAAGCCAATAGTAGCGAAAACTCCATAGTCCAAGTCCTATCATAAGAAATCCGACCATAAAATCACAATAGGTACCAAACGTATTAACGTCCAAGTGCTGATTAAGCAATAGAAAACACATGGTTACAAGAATAAGTCCACTTGAGTGACCACAACCCCAGCGTATACCCAATTGACATGAACGCCATGAGGAACCAGCACTCAATACAATAAGTGCACTTAAATGATCAGGACCTGTAAGTACATGGATTAGACCTAATATCAGACCTATACCTATAATACCAAGTAATGATGCAGTTTCAAGTGAAGTGACAGTTTCAGTAGCAGTCATTGAATGGACTGAACGAAATACCGATAGATTCATAGATCTAGATTGATTTTGTAGATTTGTTATCCGATTTGAAAGGGTTTACTCATCTATTTGATTGATCCGTATCGGATTCCACAACTTCAACTTGGTAGAGTAAACACAATCTGAAATGTCTGTAGCTTGAATGTTGTCTGTATAATAATTAATACAGGACATGTCCTTATTGTAATCGTGCCGGATGGTAATGTTTATCCTGTCAGAACAAAAGCCCTTGTAACTCCTAGTTCAGTTCCTCCATTTGCTCACTGCAGACTATTACCTTGCATTGCCATTAGGACACATACAAGACAACAACACTTGTTTATTTCATACATACAAGACAAGCCATCGCCTTGTTTTCTTTCTTCATCTCTCTTGCAAAAATGATCGTCGCACGTTGTTCTTCTGGACAATTCGTGTCTACGCAGTCTTGTCCTTGACGACCTTCTTCACATAAGGAAAGCTAGAGTAAATAGCCATACTCATAGCAACAAGAACTGCAGCCAGGAACACTTCATTAGGCAGCACAGCACCATACACGTAGCTCTCCACAAAGGCCGTGAAAGCAATTCCGCAGACGAGAGCGAATGACTTGAGCACGCCACCAACATATTTAGTGACTGTACCAACGAGCAGACCACCAAGCGCATTACTCACGACGGGTATAATCGTATGGTACTTGCATCCCTCAAAGATCATGTCAAGATTGGTCCAAGCATTGGCATCGGACGACTCGGAGGTTGGTGTCTTAACGATAGTGGACCAGATAGCTGGTATCATGAGGAATAAACTGCCATAGACTGACAGCTCTATCGTCACAAGTGCAGAGTCACGTTTGTACTTCTGCATGGAACGCTGCGTAAGCGCTGATCCAAGCCCTGAGAGCAGCGATGCGAGCAGTACAGGCACAAGACCAAGCTCGAGGGAGATGGCGGAGTCGTCCATGCGACCGTCCTTGGCAAGTGACAATAAGACAGCAGCAAACAATAATAGCAACATGGAAAAGCATTGTTGAAGAGAAAAGCGTGTGTCCATGATAAAATAGAGAAACAGCGCAGCAGATAAAAGTTTCGTCTGGTTCATGAGATTAAACACAATGGATGGTAGATATTGGTATGCAATCTGGATCAGTACGTTCTGTATAGCGTAAGTACAGGCTGGAAGACCAGAGGATACAAGACTATCATATAAACTCCATGTCTTTATGATACGACCTAATGTACCTGAGGATACTAGTGACAATAATGATACTACTAGCTTACACCCTTCACAAGCAATAACTAGAACTGAACGATTTGTTGCTTCACTTGCAAATTCCTTGTATAAAATAGGCTGCAAACCAAATTGAATGGCTAAAAGTATCATTGCTATGTAACCAATCCAGATAGTTGAAGACGGTGTGGCGTTATACGTCTTGCTGGACACCTTAGTGGACACCTTGGTGGACGAAAGAACGACCATTAATTATTGCTATGGCCGTTTTTTAGTGGTAAAGTGTGATTGGATAAGAATGATAGTTACACGGTGCTGATTGGATACTGAATCTCTCATGCTGAACTGTATATTATGATATTATTCATAACAATATCATCTTCTAGAAAAGGTCTTTGGAAAGGTCCGAGTATGTAACACATCGAAGTCAAAGGCGTCATCAGAAAAGCAAATGGATGTATACGACAAGGGGAAGGGAATACCATACAAGCAGAAAGATCGTCGTCCATGATTTCAATCAGCATGGTCTTGTGTTTTTTTTGTTGGGCAATAGGATGCTCTTCCTCGCATCTCTTCATCTTCTCGATCTCAACGGCGTCGACTGCTTCAACAGATTTGTCCTGTAGCAGCTTTACACATTGTTGCGCAATTTGTCGGCTATAGTGACTTGGACGGAGGCTTTCGTGTACGTCTTGGTGAAGTTTTGCCAACTTTGCTTGCTCACATAATGCTGTCGCAATCTCGTTCCGTACGGAAGGTGATGTCAATGGCTTGGACGCAAGCACTCGCTGCGTGAAGTCTGAAAACAACTCGCTTGGCAATGTGAAAAACTGAAGCATAGCATCTGCATTTAATGTCTCTCTTCTCTCCACCAATAAGTGCATGCATGTTTCGATAAGCACAGTGCAGGATGCGTGAAAGAGTTCCGGTTGTACCTGTGCCAGTGTCTGCGCCGCATTGACCACTTGCAATAGATTGCTCCACCCTTTGACACCGCGACTTATCTCGTGATCAAAAAACTGCTTCGCGCTCTGTCAAATGTCCTCACGCATCTCTAGGAATTTAATCGCGCAATGCATGGCCGCTACATTTGCCAGTGAAAAGGAGACGTCCCCCGTATAGCAGTAGATGGCCAGTATCTCAAACATTTCCGCGCCTTCAGGGAATGCCGAAAGCTCTAGAACAGGTACAATGCTGCTATGGTTGGCATTGTTGTCAACATTGGTTTCCACTGCGTCACGGGCCATTCTATGCATCTTGTTGCTCTCAAATAGCATTGGATGTTTGTGACGATTGAATTGTGTACCACAGACTAACACCACCAAGTTGCAGTACTGACGTTGGGATGTCCACTGTGTGTATTCACAAAGTGCCATCTCTCCACTGAGGTTGGCGTCCTGTAGAAACGCACGCAATTCGGCTTAGGGCGAGTCGTCAGTCGTGCGCTGATGTGCTGCTGTTGGAGCTGTGGTTTGTTAACTGGCATTGGAGCTGGCGCAATCACCGACTGTTGCCGGTAGATAGGAACCGTCATGGCTGGCAGTCGCTGGGCTTGAGACTGTGGCTGGAACAATGGCATTGTCACTCTTGGACGTTTGACGGCGCGACCAGAGGAAGATACGAGGTTTCGACAGTGGCAGCACGTCGCACGGTTGCTGTGTAGACATTGTTCGTCATGTGTACATCCTTGACGCTTACAACTACGTCCAGATCCTTCTCAACGACTTCCACAGCGTCCACTACCGTGACGTCCACAGCGACCGTCACATGTACAGTGCATACACGTGCCTAGTGCATTTGTACACGTTGGTAACGAGCATGATTCACGTAGTTTGCGGATAACGTAAACACTCGACTCTTTGTATTTCTTCATACGATTTCTAATGTTCATTTAAATACTAAGGAAAACGTGTCACTTGACTCTAATGATGCAAATTCTGGAAACTGACAGACGGCAGACAGTACATCATCGATGTGTATCTTAACGCAACTTGATTTACGTCTTATACCTCTACGATTTATTGCTAATCTGTAGTGTTTTACCATCTACTACTTTGCCGTATGTTAAAAGTTACGCTTAATTCAATGTTGAAAATGAGACCAAGCTTGCATCAGTCTTGTTAAGGCATCAGTACTAGCTGAGACTTTAGATTAAAAGCTGCCTGTTGTTCATGTGCATCTTTACTTTCCAGCAGCGTCTCCACTGCAGCTGACACACGCTCTCGCTGGACAATCAATTTCAACGCCAGATCCGCGTTGTCTACTGCACGTTTTAACAACGCCACAAGAGTCCCAGCTGCTGCCACACGAACCATCGAATACTTAGCATCACCTACACCAAATAATCCACAGCAGGTATCGATAACATGCTCAGCAAGACTTTTGCAATCAACGAGCCTCTTGAGAGATGATACACGGTCAACAACTGCAGTCAAAGTCTGGAAAATGGCTCGACGAACACTCCAGGCGGCCAAATGAGGCGATTGTACACTCGCACAAAGCCACAAGATTGTTTCTACATCCGTCTCGGTATTGTCACTGTCTGTTGTATCTTGTGTTGCTGTCAAGGGAGGCCACATGAGTGCAAGAGCTTCAAAGACGCATTTCATAAGTAATGGTGGCAATGGCGGCCTGGTCGACTCTGACAGCTCCATTTCATTCCCAGTCATCCATTCAGCAAATGAACTTCTTAAGAAACGAACATTTGACGCACGCAGATCAAATTGACCAGCAGGCAGCAATGCAGAAAACTTCCCCAGATTTACAATTGCGCTCTCGAGATACGCCAAATCTTGATTTATCCATGCGCGAGCACACTCTTCAACAAGAAGCAGCGACAACTTCTCGGTCCATTTTCGATCATCAATGTCGGTTACCTTATTTTCCAGTTTTACAGCCGCCAAAGAGACAATAGACTCCAGAATGACACCCTTGCCCCTCCAAAGGCGACCTGGCACAGCATCAATGAGCTCGTTCCAGATGCGTGCAACTTGCTCCGTGGAGAGTTTTGAACGATACGTGGAGCTCGCAAAAATCGCCTGCAAAGCTCGAGCGGCCTGTCGTCGTGTGTCCCAAGCTGGATGCGCCAACAGCAACGCGACAGCGTCAAGCACAGCATCCAACGATCTCGTAGAGTAGAGTATTGTCGGTGGTAACTCGTCCAACACAGTCATCCATGAGCTCTTGAGAGCGTCTGTAGCAGCAAACTGACCGATAAATGCGGCAGGGAAGACGTGCGTGCAGTACCAAGCATTGCGCAGATCATCAATCACCACGGTGTTTGCATCTGCGATTGGTGGCACTTTCTTCACAAGCTCTTTCATTGCTAGTGCACTGATCAGTAAAAATCGGCTCGTGTAAACGTTGAGTGATTTTGGCTGGGTGCCTTCCATCTCTTCATTTCCCGTATCACGTGAAAGAGGGCCGACAGTCTTGCTGTCGTATTTGTTCGCGGCGTTATAAGCAAAGATGCCAGATCGAACGTAATCACGAACTGTAGTTGCGTCGACTAGTGGGCACAAGTATGCGGCAGCTTGGCAGTAGCTCTGAATAACCAGTCCGTCCGTCAACGAAGTCGCGGCGAAAGTTGAGTCACTGCCGTCAGCGGAGAGACCACTGCTGATGCTACCGTATCGACTTTCTTCGTCCCCATACTGATCATTTTCAGCCGCTGTCTTTGAGCTTACGTACGGAAGTAGCACACGGCGCAGCAGCAACTCCGCCCCGTTGCACTTGCGAAGCTCATAGGGAAGATCGACCGCTAACGATATTACAAAATTGGCCGTACCCACCCGTGTGTTGAGGCCAACACCAAACTTCAGCAGGTTGGCTAAGCCACGAACAAGCTCAGCGACCACGGAGACACAAGCAGTGGAACCAGCAAGATCTTTTAGGCGCGCTCTTGCCAATTCGAGAAGTTGACCAACAGGTCCTGACTGGCTCATCGAAATACGCAAGCGCTCCAGTTGATCTTTCTTTTCCACGTGAAATTGAGCGTACTGCAGCTCGGGCATTTCCAGCGAAGACAAGTATTCCAGCAACTTCAATAACAGTGGTGCAAGGCGGTTCTGAATATCGAATGCCTTCAATATCTTTACAAGGCGTAACAAAATGTCAATGCTCAGCATGCGGCAGATAGTATTTTTGCTCACAATTCCGTCCGCAACCAAAAACTCCAGCAGCTGAGAGCTGCACACAGCATCGCTTGCAGCAACACGCAAACTTGTTTCACCTAGGTAGCGGTAGAGCTTTATACCTGCAAGCGCCACTGTCTCCATGACATCATCTACTGCGCGAGATGCAGTAGTCCAGAGTCTTAAAAAGTCATCTCTCAAATTATCTGCTTCGGCGCCGTTGAGCAAATCGACAAGGGCAAGACACGCGGCTTCACGGTACTTAAAATTACGAGAGGTTTCTAGCCGTGCCAGAACAAACTGAAACAAGAGGACCCAATTCGGTCGAAGCAGCATTTTTTCTCCATTCGCTGTTGCAGCAACTGCGGAATTTCCTTTTGCAAAATCCCACAAGTTGCCCATAACTGCAGCCACTTTGCTGTTTGAGTGAAACTTCATCAGAAACAACCACGGAATAAGCCTTGTTTTTTTGGAGTAGTCATCTGCCATCCACTGACTGCCAGCTTTGGCGACGATTGAAGCGCGAAATAGTTTGTCTGTCGTGACAAAAGAGAACATACCAGATTGTAGTACCGCTGCAGATGTAGGTATCGTTGCCAACGACTCCCAAATCGGGTCATTAGTGCTCAAGTATAACAGCGCATACATGAGTTCCGGATCACCAACATCAGCTGCAATATTGCTGACTTCTCGATATGCTGCATTCTCAACGGTAGAGGGTGACAATGATGACGGAGGAGCAGTAGGTGCAGCTGATGCATTAGCTGCTCTGTCACCAACATCATTTTCATCATCATCGACGGCGTCGCTAGTAGATGCAAAAGCGCGAAAGCATCGCAATCGCCGAAATAAGCTTTCGCTAAACTTTGCTCCCCTTTCGTCGGTTGGCGAACGTAGTCGCAGATAAGCTAGTCCTTTCACCGCGCTTTCTTTTGCAACTCCATTCGTGTCGTTCAGCATCGCCACAAAAAACTCGTGTACGCCCAATACTGATTGTGAATACGCAGCAGATCTAAACACGCTCTTCCACGACGCAGCAGATACTAGCACACTTCCATGTCCAGGTGACGGTGTTGTCAGGCCTGCCGCACACATACACAGAAGCCATACTGTGGCATTCCGACGTTGTTCGACTTGACGAGATCCAGCATAATTGGCTAACACTCGCTCAAAAATTGTGGCAGCACGGTTCGCTGTAAACGTATCATATTTGGTCGTACTATCCATTGCAAAACTCTCTCCTGACTCATGGGTACCAAGTGCTACTAGCGCTTCACCTACAATGAATTGTAATTCGGTATCGCTCTCCATACGTAGATTCATGAGAACATTCACGGCGTCTTCGACGCCACTTGACAACTCCGTAGATATAATACCAGGCAGGTCTGATGTGGCTCGGCCTAAATTCTCAATTGCGACTCGCTTTATGGCTTTCAGCTTTGGACTTAGTTGGTCATCAAGATGGACAGACTTTAGCTCCCACTCAACCACTAACCTCAAATCTTGAAGCGTCTTAGTTTTAAGCGGACTCCACTCACTACCCAAAGAGCTCCGCATAAAACCCGTTAGCGGACCACTGAGACCAATCCCATCCAAGATACTTCTCAACAACGCCAAATTTTCATTCTGAGCCAGTTCATTTCTCGGATACAACGCAAAATTGGAGCCCTCTTTTACCTTGATATGAAGAAGATCAACCATTTCCTGATAGCATAGCAACATCAGTTGCATCTCGTCGATGGAAGTAGCGTCCACCAGAGAATCAGAACTAATGTAGTTCAATGCGCTGCTGAGAATATATAGCAATCCAGACAACTCTTTCTCTGATGCTCTTGATTTCAATCTGGTCGTACCAACCACGATGAAGTCGGACACTACTTGGCTTACACTGAGCGCTCCTGCCCTACAAACGCACATTACAATTGCACAAATATTGGACAGGAATATGCGGTCTTGGCTAACAGACGCGGCGTCGAACAGTTTAATCACTTGGCAGGGCACTATAGCACTCACACTTTTGGCGTCAAATCCACACACTTCCACGAGCGCGTTTGCTGCCGTTTCAACAATCGAAAAAGACTGAGCAGCAACAAATCCATGGCGCTCTGTTGAGCTCAAAAGTGTACGCGTAATGAAGTCCACAACGCAGTTTCGCTCGTCCGGTGTGTCACTTCCTTGAGAAGCCTTCAGAATTTCAACACAAAACTGGACACAACGTTCAACTGCAACATCAGGCATGCTGCTGGTAAGGTTTTGCGAAAAGGTTGCTCGTAGACTCCGTGCGAGCACACCTGTGGATGGAAACGGCTTGGTGAACAACGCTTTATCGGACAACCGTCGGGTGTTTTCGTCAGGAACTGACTCCAGTCGCATTACGGCGAAGCGCAAAGCGATGTCATATTGTTCTGGGACGGAAGCTGTCAGCAATTCAGCGCACCAAGCAGCAATTGCTTCTCTTACGCGTGAGTAGTTGCTGCTGGGTTCGAAAAGCTTGGACCCGTTGAGTAATGCAATCAGCTCTTGAATCACCTTTACCCGCACTTCAGGTGTAGCTGCTGACGCATATGCACTAGCAAAAGACGTGAATGTCTTCAAAGCATCCGCACCTGCACCCGTTCGGTATTCTTCCTCGGCAAGACAACGCACAAGCAATACCTGAAAAGCCTGCTCGGACGTTGCAACAAGTGCAGGAAGACGGTTTGCAAGCACTGTTAGTGACTCGTAAACACCCTGGTGGAACTCCCGCACAAACGTTGTGCTGGATGCTTCGCTCTCAGTGTGGGGGTTCATTAGTAAACGTAACATGGTTGGGAACATTACAGGACCGAGCAGGCTCTCAAGCAACGCAAGCTGTGTATGATGAAATGTCCACTCGCATAAGCGCACGCTTGCAAGTCTGACCTTGCTTACCATGCTTGGCGGCCGTGACGGCTCATTGCCGAACATTAACTGGCACAACAGCTGCAGCATCATGGGAAGCACATTCGTTGCTACGGTGGACGCCGCTAGTAGTGTCAGGGTTTGCAAAATACTTGGGTCGGCCAAGCGTGTTCGATTGGTCAGCAAAGTTGCATCAGCGCCCTCAAAAGCGCCGGAACTCTGAGCCACTTGACTGCCGAGCACTAACGCCATCAAGCGTCGCGCCACATCAGCATCCTCTAACTCGATCTCCTCGTATTTAATCACCCGAGATAATTGCTCTTCGCTGAAAGCCTTCACCGCATGGTGGAAGGAGGCGCTACCGGCAAGATAAACAGGAAGTTTAAGCTTTGTCGGAATCGCCATCTCCTTTACAAGCTTCAAAGCGTGGAGTTGCAATTCGTAAAATGTTTCACGATTTAGATCTGATACATTGACTCGTTGCAGTCGTTCTACTCGTGGCGTCATTAACCCAAACAGCATCATGTTTGCACTCATTGAAGACGGAAGCTCATACAGCACCAGATCCAGCAAAAAGTCCAGCACTACGTCCACATTGTCGTCGACCACGTCTAAATGTGCCACCACTGCACTAGCCAACGTCTCTTCTTGGTGTTTTTCTTCTTCTTCTCTTTCTGTAGCTACTTCCTTCAAGCTTGGAAAAATAGTAGAGGCAGTGACAGGTAAGGCACGTATCAGCAGTCTAAAGAACGTTTCTTGTTGAACAGTTGAAAATCTTGAGATTGTCTTGACAACTGCTGCTAATACTTTTGTTTGCTGCTCTTTTGACGCAGCATTGAATCCCAATTCTACATGAAGAGATACCAAACAAAAACAATTAATTGGTTATCATATATAGAATATTTAAAATACCAGTAACATATGTTTCAGATCAGATCCGATCAGCAGTACCAAGAAAATGAAGCGCGAGGTTATAGGAAAAGACAGAAAGCTCAGTCTGTTGCAGTACTTGACATAGTGCATCCAATGGCAGCGTCGGACGTAGTAGTGCTTGAAGACGTGTCTTAATATGGGACACAACTTGTAATATCTATCAATAATAATATATAAGAACATTAATTAATTTTATTATTTTCCATTTTCAATTAATTGTATAAATATATATAATTCCATTTCCAATTAATTGGATAAAAGAAGCCATACTTTATCCTTTAGCTCCACTTCAAGTGGCGTTATAAGTGAGCATGGGAACAGTGAGAGCAACTGAGGAAGCAGCACCTGAAGCACTTCGATCAGACGCTCGTCATCCACGCTCGCCAGACGAAAGAGGACGCGATCCAGTGCCTCTACGTCCTGCTGTAGATTAGCCATTATTGTCCAAGTCGCGTGCGGAATGACGTAATCAAGTTAGAAATGAAATGTTCTTGGTTAGAAATTATGTTAGAAATGATGTTAGCCTTTGTTTAGTGACTAGAAGGTCATTATTGGATACATGTTCATAAACGCTGCAGAAATTTGCTACCAATGGAAAACCTCGTAGAGACTGAAGAAACCTGTCGGGTGTATGTGGGCAACTTACTGCCCAAGGCCAAGGAAATTCATCTTACAAGCAAGTTTTCACGCTTTGGAACGATTCACAGTGTCTGGATTGCACGCAGAGTACGGCTAAATAACTTGAGAGAGGTGTGTGTTTTGGTCTAGTATTTGACGAGTATCTACAGCCTCCAGGCTTTGCATTTGTGTGGTTTGCGACGCGTGATGAGGCAGAACGAGCAGTAGAAGCAAGTGAAGATGGAGCTATGGAAATTCTGGGAAAGACTGTACGTGTTCAAATGGCAGGGGACAAAAAACATCAGAATGAGCGCCGAGATAGAGCTTTGAAAAAAAGACACGAAAATGTGAATCGAGAGCAAAGGACGAGAAGATGTTACGAGAGGACGAAGGGATTGCGTGGAAGAAGAAGAGACGAACGAGGCCAATGTCGAAGTCGAAGTAGAAGCAGAAGCAGTGATAGGTATTGGCAAAGGACGAGACGTGGGAGATCGAGAAGCAGCTGTAGAGAGAGTCATCGTGGTAGCACTGCTATAAATCGATCGAGGTCGAGATCTGAGTTGCGGCGAGCGAGACATCTGAGCAGACATAGAGAAAGACGAGATTGCAGCAGAAGTAGAAGGTAAGAAAGAGATGAAACACTGTATGAAAGTGAGTGTGCGAGTGCGTCTTCTATTTCCATATAACTTGGTGTATTACGACAAGTAACGCTGGGCGTGAGCTTCAAGAAGCGACCGCCTTCTTATAAATACTACTGATGTAGACTGGAATGTCCACATCAACAACTCGTCATGTGTCGTCTCGAACTGATGCTTACTACCAGTAGTGTATAAATAAACAGCAATTGCAACGCCTGTTGGTTGGTAATCATCATCCAGTTGATGACAGTGGACGTTAAATATGATTACATTGATGGTGCAAAGCATTCATGATGTGATACTGCAGCTGTAAGGACTTGTTATGTTGGTGAAAGGGCGTTAGAAGTAGGTCAAGTCACTAGCACGTCTCGACCCAAGTTCCGTATGATAAACCTGAGATCTGCGATACAAGTGCGTCTTGCGCCTGTTGAAGATTTCAGTGTACGTCACACTAACATGGTGTGTTCAACCCAGCTCCATGCTTATTGGTCGATATTGATCACCATGGCGCCGCTGGCCTTACACGACAAACCATAAGCCAGCTAGCTAGCTAGCTCTCTTCCGTCCGTCCTCGCCATGCCGCTGTACAAGCAGGTACTACTGACGAATCTCAAGTCTACGCCAAAGGATGTGGCACGTTTGTTTCAGGATTGTGCGAAATTTATAACGTCCCAGGGTGGTGTGATTCGTTCCACAGAGAACCGCGGTCAGAAGCGTCTGGGCTACGGCATTGAGGACCGTCGGTGGGGTGCATTGCAGCGTCATTACGAAGGCAAACTCATTGTACAACAGTTTAATACATCACCTGATGTGCTAAAGGAATTAGAGATCCGACTCAAGAATAGTTTTCCAATCATTCGATTTGCAACGTTCAAGATCCGTGATCCCGTGGATCAGCTCATGAACACGCGCTTGACACTGGAGCAGGCACAGTTACTGCTTAGTCCCGCAGCTAAAGCTAAGGCCGAGCAAGCCGCTAAAGAGGCTAAAAAGGCGCGACGTTCATATAGATCCGAGTTTGATGATGTAAAGCCCGAGGACTTTTTTGACACGGACGATGAGCGGGAGGCTGCGCAGTTCAAGCAGTACGTGCCTGATTGGAAGCGTGACGCACTCTTTGAGCCTGATGTGCCCGCGCACTTGAAGGATAAGAATGAATGATTCTAGGTACATACACAACACACTCATTTTACATTTTGCTGCAAGTTTATTAAGCACTGCATTGTCTTGTGGTAGAAACGAATTGAGAGAACCTAAGTGGGAAAAAAGTCCGTAAAATTGAATCATATTGCTGTTGTTTGTTTACGTGTTTCATCCGTAAGAGACTATCATCTCTACATCACCAAAACATCCAACGACAGTAGGTTATGTGTCTACTTGTTTTTCTGTAGCTCCTTCCGCAATTGGTTGCAAAACTCGTCGTCCGCCTCGTCCACATCCCAGTCATCCTGCCATTGCTGTTTAATGTGCTCATCCTTCTCCTCTGCTTGTCCATTCCAGTCTGCATCTTCAAACTCTTCAAATTCATCATCCTCTTCCGTTACTACCACAAGCGTCGGTACCTTCTCACCTGTCGTAGGGACTGAAGCTGCTGCTGCTGCTGCTTTGCTCGTCTTCTCACTCGGCTTACTACTCATGGTCTCGTGTTTCTTCTTTCTATCAATCAGATCAGATCTTGATGATCTAGTAAATATCACGTGGTCCACATCATCGAGTATGTTACTATTTAATGTAAACCACGTCAGCTCGAGCTTCAATTGCTGTAAGTATCACGTGGTCCACATCATCTACCATGCTACTATTTGATGTAAACCACGTCAACTCGAGCTTCAATCGCACTTGATGACAACTTGCATGTGGCTCTCGTCTTTTGCTGCTCCTGACGCCCACGAGCAGCACATTGTGCGTGTAAATGTATGGAATACACACAGTATTGCTTTCTATCCTTCCGATGATGTGCTTTCTCTTGCAGTAACGTTCGATCTGGCGCTTCTACGTCGTCTACGTGTGGTTCATGACTCGTTTGTGACACTTTCCTTCCAAGAGCGATGTCATGTAGCAAGATTACGCTTAGTACCAAAGCCAATAGTAAAACCAAGTCAAGAGAATAATGAGCACATTCATGCCGACATAATGCTGTCACCACTTTTAGCCTTTAACCTTGGCATCTCGTTGACCAGTCACGCAATTCTATCGGTGAGTGTTTACGTTTGAATCAATAGCTCTAGTTTCTATCATACACTGACTGCTTTTCTCATGTTTAATGGACGTGTAGATGACTGTTTCCTCTACTTCTTCACAAGAATTGGGACTTCCACTGCATCCAGAACAGCCATTCCGTCGAAAACAGCAAGAACAACCTGCACCAGCTTTGAACGCCATCATTGCACCTCTTTTAATCTCAAATCTATCGTGTCGTCATCATGTTTTGCTGCAACAACGCGACGGACTTTTAGACGCTATCCGAACGTATTTTGCATCACCTAAAGTTTTGCAAGTTGGAGATGTTTTTGCCGTGGAACTACGGGAGACGACACAATCTCATGTTCCCAAGGAGAACAAACGATACAAGGATAACTATGAGCCCTACAAGTGCGTAGAAATACCTGCTATCTGTATGGTAGCAACAGAAGGTGAAGCACCTGATTCGATGACTGAAGTCATGCCGCCGACATTGGATCTAGACACTGTACTTATGTTCTTTCGAGTTGAAAAATTGAGTGGGGAAAATAAAGACGCTCTAGCGCTAACAATATCCCATGCTACGAAGCTTATGCAAGGATCTTCGACTTCAGCAGTATCGCCTGATGAAGCAACTATCAAACAGTTCTTGATGCAGAGCCGACATGGTGGCACTGTACCTTCATTTGACTCACCATTGCCGTCGGCTATTCAGCAAAAACTATACGAAGTGCTTTACCCGACACAGTTGTGCGAGATTCCTGTATCAGTTCTTCTTAGTGGTGCTCGTGGTGTTGGCAAGAGAACTCTTGTTCACCAGGTAGCAAAGCAGTTGGGTGTGATTACAGTGGAGGTACCGTTCACTGAGCTCCCGGGACAATCAGAGCTACATTTGCTAGAAAATGTGCGGGATCAGGTATCAAAGGCGCAAGCGCTGTCACCGTGCCTCCTTTACATCAGCCACTTTTTTTCAATTGAAAAACACAATGAGGAAGCAGAGTTGCGCATTGGTGCTGTTCTCTCTGAGTGCATTCGCTCACTCAGTCAGAACCAACACAGCATCCCGCTAATCGCATGCGTGGAAGACGTAAACGAAGTGCCCAAATTTATCCGGCAGTGTTTTTTGTATGAGATGCATCTCGAGATACCTGATCAGTCTAAGCGACTTGAGTTCTTGCAGCACATGGCAGCGTCTATAGAGTTCAATGACGACGTGGATTTGATGGAGATTTCACAGTTGACAGCGGGTCAAACATATGGAGAGCTGTCAGCTATGTTAGCAGATGCCGGTAGTCTTGCAATTGAACGAATCCTTAGTGGCGGGACTGACGCAAGTAAGCAATCGTTGAGTGATGTGGTGTTTGGCAATTTCGATAATCTGCTGTCCCATCAATGTTCTATCTCGTATAACGATATGCTGAAAGCTACACAAAGTCAGCAAGCGCAGGCATCATCCGCTAACATCGGTAATGCATCGATTCCGAATGTGAAATGGACTGACGTGGGTGGTTTGGAAGATGTGAAGGATGAGATCTTAGATGTCGTGCGGCTACCGATCGAGCATCCAGAACTTTTTGCTAGTGGTGTACGTCAACGCTCTGGTATCTTGTTGTATGGACCTCCAGGAACGGGAAAAACATTGCTAGCAAAGGCCATTGCAACGGAATGCAATCTCAACTTTCTCAGTGTCAAGGGACCAGAACTACTAAACATGTATATTGGCGAAAGCGAGAGAAATGTGCGGCAGGTTTTTGCAAAGGCTCGCAGTTGTCGCCCTTGCATTCTTTTCTTCGACGAGTTAGATTCACTAGCTCCAATGCGTGGGCGCGGGTCGGATTCTGGCGGTGTCATGGACCGCGTAGTATCGCAGCTACTGACGGAGATTGATGGTCTTAGTGGTGGTGGCAATGACCAAGTGTTTGTAATTGGAGCTACAAACCGTCCCGACTTGTTAGAGACGGGTTTATTGCGTCCAGGACGCTTTGATCGTTTACTATACCTTGGTATTTGTAACGACAAAGCAGCTCAGCTAAAAGTACTAAAGGCGCAGACAAGAAAGTTCACATTGGCCGAGGATACTGTTTTGACTGCAGTGATTGAGCATTGTCCGACTAATTTCACGGGTGCTGACTTTTACGCGCTCAGTTCAAGTGCGTTAGCTGCTGCACTAAAGGATCGTGTGGACTCTCTCGATCGACAACTTGGTAAGGTCTTTTTGTTAGTATCAAGACGTATGTCGTACGTACGTAGCTGCCTCTTTCTGATCCACTCACTGTCTCTGCTTTATTGTAAATGTTGTTTAGAAGAAATTAATGCAGAGGACTGTTACTCGTCAAGTCCCATGACAATTCGCTTGCTGCTTAATCGCTTGTCACAAGAAGAGCTACGTGTGTGTGTTAGTCAACAACACTTCATCACGGCGCTTTCGCAACTTGTTCCATCTGTGTCACCAGCTGAAATCCAGCACTATGAAAATTTAAGAAGGCAGTACAGTTCCAGGTAAAGGTGTTTGGAGGACCAGATGTCGAGCAAGTCTAGTTTTTGTGTCAAGTACGTCTTTTTCATATGGAGGAATGATTTGCAATTAGCACTGTTTTTCAATCCGAGAACCTGGATGAACCTGGATCTTGTGTGCCAGGTGCTTACAAAGCCTCAACAAACCTTTTACTGTCGATGCGTCAAGTGTAGAATTCAATTTGCACTGAGCTGCACAGGTATCAATTCCCCGTCATCCTCACGAGTCGTTCAAAACGCAGCATTTCGTTCCAGATGTCTCGCTTTTCCACGTCTTTTGTTGTTTGCATGATTGTAATTTGTTGGGCTGCTCGTGCTACCGCTTCTACCGATATCACGTGGCGCAATCAATTTCGAAGCAAGATCAACGTCTTGCCAGAACCAAGTCGTCACTGCTACGTGTGTTTCTATGAAAAGAAAAACTTTGCTGGACAAAGCTTTTGCATGGGCAAACGTCCACGTGGCTGCAAAGCGGCAAATCCAATCGTGACGCCGGGTACGATTGGGAGTATCAAGTTTGGACAGGGCTGTGATCTCGTAGTGAACGCACGGGTGTCGGACGTGCCCTTTAGCGAGCACATGGCAGTTTTCTCAACGGACATTCGCAACACAGGATTTGATGTGTCCTCTTCTCACTCTGTCTCACAAGTTTATGTCGAAGAAGCTGGACATGCGTGTTTTCTTGGAATCCCCACGTCTATACGTGGTTTTGGTGTCTGTTATAACGACAGTGTGCCAGTTGTGCAGGACGAGTATCAAAACACAATCACTGAGCTACTGCTTTTTAAAACCGACATGATAAACTTTGACGTGATTGTCTACGAGAGCGAGTATTACAACAATCCTGGCATGGTTGTCATGCAGAGTGATGTCGAGACTACTCCACTGAAATCTCGTTTTTCGGGCTACAGCAAGTTGTTGGAGACGAACGTGATCGACCGCAAGTCTGGAATGAAAAAGAATTTGCAGGACAAAGTCCGCTCGATCAAGTTTGTTGCTCCAGTAGTCAACTCCGATGCCACCCCCGGCGTTGTTATTCCTGCCTCGTATGGAGTGTAGATTTTCTATTATTGTAAACACAAATAACGTGATCATTTGTGCAAAGCTACATCGTCAGTGTATCGTTGGTAACTTGCTCTTCTTGTCCTTGTCGATGTAGTATACTATGCATCCATTACTTTTTTGTTTTGTGAGATAACTTTGTCGAACACCTCTCTCCCCCTCTCAATCACGTGCACGAGTATACTATTTCCACATTCTATTCTTGACTCTACTCCATTCCATACTTTTGTTGTACTTCATCGTCTGGATGCTTCATAACAATCTCCGAATTCTGCTTGCTCCAGACTAGCCGCGGTGGAATTCCAGTGCTGTCAAAAAGATGTGCATTCGAGACACGACTTGCTAGTCGACGGAAATTGCGCGTGATCAAAGACGACGCTGTGTCAATAATGGATCGAGGAACGTCACGCCCGTAACCACTGCTGCGTTTGTCTACCCGCTTATAAGCCTCCGTTACCGGAATATCTAGACACAATACGTGGACATCATAACCTGCTGCTTTCACTTGATCAATCGTGTGAGCATAACTGGTGAAACTCTTGCCACTACCATGAAGAATAATGTTCTTGCGTGACATGATTGCACCGTAAAGATTCTTCTTGAGAATAAAACGTGCTTCGTCACGACATAGCTGGTACCGTGTTTGTGGTCCTGGCAACAGCTTGACATGGGGCTTCGAGTTCATCCCCGTACGTTCCGCGTCTGTTACGCTATGGCTTTCTGGGTTGTTGCCTAGACCTACGTTAAGCATTGCGTGGTAGAACTCTGGAAGAAGTGCAATGACATCATCAATGTCAAAGTTTACAGAATCTTGTAGCGTGAGCTTCCCCATGAGATATAAATGGCTTAGCATTGTTGACTTGCCTGACCCGGGAATGCCCAACATCAGCACAAATTTAGGCACGAATAAGTCCTGCGGCGCGGAAGAGTACAGCTGCTGCGCAATGCGAGCATGCAATTGTAACCGGTTTGAAGTGAAGTGGCCCTGATCGTTTGTGTGTAATTGGAATGTTGACGTAGGCGGCACGGGTGTCATGACATCAGCATCCAGCGGATCCGATTCGGAGCTCCTGGCTCCTGAATCTACGTGATTCTTCAGCTGTCGCAACAAGGACGCAGTGCCGTTACTAACGGCTTTCCCCTTGAATTTCACTGTCTGTCTTTGTTTTTATATCTGCAGTAGTCGCTTCGTTATCTGTAGGTATTACAAGTAAGTTCTCAACTTCCAAAGCGACCTTACGTCGAAACGAATAGGCACTTTCTGGATCTAGTGTTGAGTGTACAGTGTCTAAGAACACGGGTCCACACGTCTGGGTTTCAAGAATCTGGAATCCTTCCTCTGTAAGCGCAGCAAGGAATTTCATCAACTTGTCTGGTTCGTCCGTGAGTGCCAAGAACTGCGTCCTTGAAGCAGCATTACTAGATGAGAAGGGAATCCCGTCCTTGTTATACTGTTCATGTTCTTTCATTGCTGCCAATGGATTGTCACTATCTGCATCATATTCATCCTGTGGCACAATCACTTCGGCTTGAAACTTCTCCAGTATCTGCACTAATTGACACTGACGATGTGGATCTCGTCGTAGTTGCAATAAGAGCTGAGAACGCAGTACAAACTGTCGTGTTGTGATACAAACATTGACAGTTGTCAAGTGAAAGAAAGTGATGGCTACAAGAGCCTGTAGACGCTTTTTAATTGCTTCGACTGCTCGATCTTGTAGGAAACAGGAGATGGTAATACGTGAAAGCTCGGGTACAAGAGTAGAACGGACACAGAGGTTGGTAATATTATGATCACCATACTTGAAGACATTTGCAATCTGGGCTAATGTACCTATAGACAAATATTCATATTCAATAGTCATAGATAATAATAGGAAGTCAAAGAAGGATTCATAGTAGTATTATACTACTACCAGTGCTATAATAGTAGTAATGTATTGCTACCTGGTCGATTAACAACTAATGCTGATATAATACGCTCTTGTAATGTATTTTTCTTGATCTTATTATTACATGTATGAAAGATAGTAGAAGATGTGCAAGAGAAAGATAGAAACCGGATGGATTTCTCATGAATAAACAAGCAGATGGAAGGCACGAGGTATCGTCGTATACTATACATGGTGCTTGCGGGTTTGATTGAAGAGATTGATGTGGTACACATGTATACATATATAACAGTATTGCATTGATTTCTGATATCGGTTTCACAAGGGATTCATGGCTCGTTTGATGGGTACGGAGAACATAATAAGGCCAGTGAACCAGATATTTTGGGGCAAACCGCGCCAAATCTCAATTTCGCGCTATTTTGAAGATATTGGCACTTGATGGATGACAAAATGTGACCATTGCTTTTTCTTCATAAAATAGGGTATGATTCTTTTCATCTCGGTGTTTCAACGTTTAAAACCGACGTAAACAACAAGTCTAGATTATCCCGTCGTCGTCGTCGTCGTCGTCGTCGTCATCCTGAATCGTAATAATGAGCTACTCTAGCGACTATATGTATCGAAACTATTAGCATCATACTGCAAATGTTTCACGTTTCACTTGTACATGAGATTCAAATCAAATAGTCAGTGCACGTTTGTCTACTATTTCATCATCTTGTAGCGTTTCCTAAACTTGTATAACGACACAACAGTGCAGGAAGAAACTAACATTCATAATATAACGAGATGACTCTAAGCAATATTGACGATCAGAAAAGATCAAGAAAGATCAGAAAGATAAAAAGGAATCATATTTTTTGCACATACCCACATTTTGTCACTCCATTCCTTGCACAAAGGCCATTTTCCATCTCAAATTAGGTCTCTTTCCGTCCTTGTCTTCGTACTTAGTCCGTATCTTCTGGCTTTCTTTTTTTTATTTCTTCTCTTTTTTTATTGTATTTTACCAGTGGTTTTTTTTGTTTTCAATAGTGTGGAAAGTGACGGGGGAAGGAAGTAAAGGGCGGAGAGTGAGTGATATACTGACTGGAGTTTTCAGTAGTTTGTGGAGGAGACTGTGACTGTGTGAGCTGTTAAGCTAAAGGAGAGAGAGAGAGAGCGAGACAGCGAGAGAGAGAGAGCGTGAAAGAACGAGGTGTTTTGGTCATGAATTCCGAGTTAATGACTGTATTGAGTATGCGTCAAAAAGAAATGTCTTATCATCAATTGGCGCTTGATTGTCGCTCGAATTCACTTCACTTACCAGCACTCAAGACATTGTTATCATCTCATGCTTCGATACGTCATGGACCACCACTTTCTCTAAATCTACTACAGACAACAACGTCCTTGGAACAATTTGGCTTTACGTGGCGTTGGATTATGGAAACAGCAACGCACTTTGCACTACAACGTCAGACGGCACACTTTGCCAATCAATATGCACAAGTTTTATTACGTCGTCGTGTGCTCTCGTCAGCTTGTGAAAGATATGGCGATGAGGTGTATTATAGTCCAAAACAATTGAAACTGCTTGGACTTGTGTGTGTCTTTATGGCGGCAAAGATTGAAGAAGTTCATCCACCAAAAGCTGCAGATCTTGTGGCGTTTTTAGCGGAAAAAGGACGTGTTCAAGTAGCAGCAGAAGATCTTGCACGGTTTGAAGTGAATTATGTTGTCGTAAGTCTTGTGTGTGTGTCTTTTGTGTGTGATGATATGAGTAACTCATCTTGCTATTGGATGATGATTAATTGACTGATGGAGATGTGGTTGTTTTTTATTTTTATTGCTTGCTTACTTTTAGGAACTTCAATGGAATCTGCATCCGACAACACCGTATGCGTGGCTACTGTTTATGGTTGCTGGTGGTTCAGCTGATCAACGTCCGTTGGAAACGATGGGTGACTTTGTCAACCCGGCGCGCAACCCATTAGGCACGAAGAAGCTGTTTGTAAACGCCATTCGATTGGTGGACATTGCATTGCTTGACTACCAAGCTATTGAGTACTGGCCTAGTGTGCTGGCTGGAGCAGCTCTGCTACTAGTGGATCCGGCACTGGACTTTATGTTTGTGGCGCAGTTCTTGCAGCTGGATCCCAACGTGCTCTGGGAGTGCAAGTCATGGCTCTATGCCAGGGCTTACGGAGTGTGCGACTTGGAGGCTACGACCACCCAGGCTAAGGACCGCTGGATCAAAGTGCCGACGGAAGAGCTACTGTTCATTCAGTCACAAGTTGTGGTACCTAGCTACTTGGCCTGCGGCCTATTACGCCCAGACAATGTGGTGGATCTGTATTCTACTGGCTTGAACACTCCACTGGAAAAAGGGTATGGCTTGGAGACGTGTCCGTCTCCGTGCTCCCCCAGCAACAACTATGCTCTAGTACCGCTGCCACCAATGTGCTTGTGTAGTGGTAGTTACCACACGTGCGGTGGAGAAGAGACGCCGGGCCCTCACGTGTACCACTTTAAGTACGGTTGGCAAGGTATTGAAGCAGGACTCATGGCGGAGCCAAATTATGGAAACCAACAAGATCCGCGTATGCAGTACCCGTAAGCGGACTTGCTGGAATAAAGAGGAGGAAGGATGACGAATGAGGTTGGATGACACAAGAAAAAATGTGAAGACAAGGCCTGTGGTGGCCTTGATTGGAAGAAGGAGCAAGCAAGTTAGTGGCCTACATGGATCACTTGTTAGCTTGTTGCTAGAATTTCCTGAGGAAAAGAAGGTGAAAGATAACACACAAAAATCAAAACAAACTCGGCGAGGCGTGCACCGAGCAGGACAACAAACAACTGAAAACATGAGCGAACAATGACAACCAACTGGGGAGAAGACGTTTACAGAGTTGATCTGTGGCATTTTCTCTTGCTTGATCGGCTGGAAGTCCATTAGTTGACAAAGCAATTTACAACCATTTTACACTGCACAACGAAGATGACAAATGGCAATGGCTCGTAGCCAATCCTGAAGCAACGCTTGTCTTGTACGCTTTCGAGACGCGCGCTTTGTCTCTTTTTATCTACATGAGAGCAATTTTACACAACCACGGCAAAACCTTCTAAGCACTCGCTTTTAGGTGTAGCCTAAAAAACGAAAAGTACGTACTGTCCTGCACAGCTTTTATTTACACTTCTTTTTCTTCCCTTTTCCTTCATTCTACTAATGCTTGAACAGACTTTTCACCATGACATGACATTGTTACTTCATCCTGCACTCGGCTAACATGCACGTGGCTGCTCACAGTCTTAAGCATTAATAGCTGGTGGTTGAAATGCCGTGGGAATTTGCAATTTTGTATGTTTCTTTGCCCAGAAGCCCGTCCTTCTTCTCGATGCTGCACTTGCAGCTGGTACCAATACACCAGTCCAGGCAGCAGCGTTTAGCTTCATCCGGGCCCGATGAGCACGCTCAGCTTCTTCTTCTGCAAAGCGGCGTTCGCGTTCTTCACGCAGACGCACTGCCTCGGCCATTTCCAACTTCTGAAGCCTACGACGACTTCGGATCTCGGCCTCACGCAACGCATCATCCGTAGCTGCAACAGCAGTGCGACGCCTCTTCTCCGTCCGCGCCATTTCCTCTTCACGCCGAGCTCGCTTCCGTCTTTTTTCTTCGGCCTTACGCTCATGTTTGTTCATGCGCTCCATGTTTAGTCTGTTTGGCATAAGTTGCAATTTCACCCGGGTTGCTGTCGCATCCGTAGCATTAGCATTAGCATCATCGCGCGAGACACTTCCACCTCCGACAACTATTGTTCCGACAACAGAAGTGGCAGTGGCACCAGGAGCTCTAAAGCTCACGCTCTTTTTGGGCATGGAAGAGCTTGCTGGGGTTCCGGCAGACACAGCACCTTCCTCGACTTGGTGTTTGCTGCTTTTGTGATGATACTTGCTGTGCTTGTTCCCAAAGTCACTGTCGCCATTCGGAGTAAAAACGTCTCGGTGAACTTTTTTTTCAATCTCGCCAAGGACCTCACAAGCATCACTTCGCTTTCGCTTTGACTCATTCATGCGCTCTTTGCGCAATAATTCGCAACGGCGAGTTTTTTCAGTCACTTCTAGCGTCACATCTCCCCATAGATCGTCCACGACAGCTAGCATGTGCCTGGCAGCTGCATACACGCTCCATCCCTCGCGATTCTTATCAGCATGGTTGTAAATCATGGCATTTTCAAACGTCAACCGTACGTCGCGAATAAAGTCGCCGTGCGCTTTATACTCAAACTCATTCAACTTGTCCGCTATAGTTGACAAATCCATAGGCGTCTTGATAATGTCGAAATAGTCCGGCGATAGTGCCGGAAACAATACACGGACAGGCTTACGAAACGGCCAACAATTCTTGTCATGCTTTTGACTATTCAGCACTCGTAGCATTTTTTGGCACTCTTTGGCTTTAAGCTCAACCGGCACAGCCTTCACAAACTCTGCACGTTCCTGCCGCAACTGATCCCGCTTCGCACGACTCTGCTCCCCTGGCGTCGGATGAATTTGCAGCTCGGCGCATAACGAATCAAAGTACCATAATAAATGCGCAGACATGTCGCGAACCTGAGTCGAAGCTGGATCATCGGCACAATTAAACTTGACAGCATTTTGAAAGATCAGACGACCTTTTCGCAAAAATTCTGCTTGGGTCAGTGTATGAGCATGCAGCTGTTCACGCAATGTGCGCAAGTCCATTGGCTCTTTAATCAGGTTTGTGTACTCACTAGCAAGCTGTGGGAATACCTCTAGCAAAGGGTGGTTGAAGTGTAATTTACCCACTTGCTCAATCTTGCCCAAACGGTTCAGTACACGGTCACAAGAAATCTCCCACGAGATTAGGTCCGACTTCTTGTGTTTTTTGCTTTTTTTGGTCGGTACCAAACTAGAATCAAGATAAGTATCCACCATGCCTCTTTTCGAGGCAATCGCTGCCGATGCAGTCGCAGGTGCTGCAGATTGTATATTGGTACCACAAGTGATCGTCTCACTGATAGGCAGCGCATGCGATGCCGCTGCAGTGGTCAAGACAGGTTGGGGTGGAGCTGTTCCCGGTGAAGAACTTTCCTGGACATTTAATCCACTCTCCTATCATTATGAAAACAAGCCATGCAATAATTAGTTATGGGCAATTGTGCCATTAGATCATAAAAACAATCCACAGCGTACCTGTAAGACAGAGCTTAACACCTTGCTTCGTTCTCTCTTTTCCTTTTTCTCGCGCTTTCTCTCTTTGTCTTTCTTCTTTTTCTCTTTCTTCTCCTTCTTCTCCTTTCTCCTCTTCTCTTTCATCTCCTTGCGCAATCGTTTCGCTTCCTCAAGAAAAAGCCCTGTCACATTTGTACCACTATCATGAGGCACGTCCTTGCCTATGGCAACTGAAGAAGTCGCCAAAAGAGAAGTCGGTTGTGCTTTCACTTGAACCAATGGTTTCACTGGAGCTGCTGGTGATGACGTTGCGACAACAGCAACATCTGCCTTCAGCGCTTTTCTGTTATTACTTGATAAAATGTGCTTCTTTGGGTCACAAGCGGAGGTAGCGATACTAGCAATCGCCACAGAAGAAACAGATAGCGGTTTCTTGGTGGGAGAAGAGGCAGGAGATTTCTTCGGTAGCTTTTGTAAAGAAGTAGACCCTGTCGAGGCGACGGCAGGACGCGCTTTGGCTTCAATAATTGGTGCAAGGGCTGCGGGCTTTGCTTCTGTTGCAGCTAGAGATGATAGGAGCGACGGTGTCTGGTCCAAAAGGGTTGATGTGTTAGCTGGTTCATTTACCATACCGTCAAGGGGACCCAATCGATCGTTGCAAAGTTTCACGAAATAGTTGCGCAGATTCGTGGCCATTGCTCGGATGTCCGCACCTTCCACTGGATCACTATTGTACTTGTGACAGTTGGAAAAGATTAAATGCACGTCAGCGCTAAACTCGTCGATACTGCCATACCGATCGCTTTTTAGTTTGCGCTCAATCTTAGCAAAATCCATCGGCTCCGAGACGATCGTCAGATAATCCGTATATTTTGAAGTATCTACAGCAGTCAAAAAAGGACCAGCCGTCTTGATCTCAATTCCACCAAACCCCTTCATTCTGTGACCACGTAGTTGCTTCATAATTCCCAAGCATATGTCTTTTTCAGGTAACCCTCCGCTTGACTCACGCGACTTTGACAATTTTAAAAACTTTGAAGACTTTGACGACTTAGACGACTTAGACGACGCCTTCTTCACAATCGCTTCGTGCTTGTTACCAGACGCGCTCATAGCTGGTGCTAGTACTTTTTGCGTGGAGAAGGTATGCATAACAGCAGGGGCAGGCTTGATCTTTGATGATAATGATGATGACGATCGTTGCTTGTCTTTGGATGCTCCAGCGTTGTTCAATGAAAAATTGAATATTGCACTTTGCGTGTGCAACACATGTAGCAGGGTCTCCGCAGACTTCCAGTAAGTCTGTCCTTGAGGATCTGATTTCCAGTAACGAATACAATTAGCAAAGACCAGTTTCATGTCTGCTATAAATTCCGACACGTGCTTGTATTCGCCGAGGTGTAGCCTTGACGATACCGTGCCAATATCCATAGGTTTCTTTACCGTTTCGTAATAGTTATACGGAATTTGGTCAGGAGAGTCATAATACGACTCGATGGGGTATTTAAACCACTGTGCCGTCTCCTGTCCATCCGTGCGGTGCGCAAATATTTCGTGAATAATCTGGTGACACTTCCACCGCTCCGGAATACCAGGCCACGAACCACCAATCTTGGCAAATTGGTTCTCAAACAGCTTCATAAGAGTCACGGCATGGTTCCGCATCACTTTGCTCAAGACCACATCACTATTGTACACCAAACAATTTGAGAAGATCAGGCGCATATCGTACGCAAACGCATCAATGGTAGCGTAACTTCCACTGCGAAGTTTTTTCTGAACACCATATAGATGCATCCGATTCGGAACTTTAATACGGTAGTCCGGAAAATGTGTCGCATCCACTGGCTGCAGAAACGGAGCTGCAGGGCTGATATTGCCATCTTTATACTTGATCAATTTCATTAACACTGAGAGGCACGCTGTTGTCTCCGTTTCGGACATTTTAGCTCCAGAAACATGGGCCAAAGCTGTTTCTTGCTTGACTACTGAGCTGCTATTCGGAGGAGCAACTGAAATACTTATAGCTGGCAAGGCCAAGTCAGTTTTAGACACCACAGGTGGATGTTCTACCACAACGTCCTTTGACATCGTATTTGAAGGTGCTTCACCTCGATTCTCACGGTCGGTCCGATGTGATTTCTTCTTACTCTCGCCACTACTTGAATTTCCGTGTCTGCGTTCTCTGTCTTTCTCTTTGCTCTTTTTCTTGGATTTCTTGGATTTTTTGTCTTTTTTACTGTGTTTATGTTTATGTTTTGTATTTCCATCTCCTTCTTCACGATGATGATGATGAGTATGATGAGAATCATTCATAAGAAATGAAGAAGAAGTAGCAGCAGCAACAACAGAAGCAACCGAAGCAGTAGAGTCTCCATCTTGTCGCGTTTTAATCTTCCCCTTCCTCCTCCTGCTCCTTCTTCTTCTCTATTTTCCCATCACCTCTTCGTTTTTCTTCCTTCTTTGCTTCTCGATGTGCTGCTTTCATTGCATCATCTGCTTTCAAAACATTTTCGATTGATTTTGCATACGCAGTCTCAAAGACACGTAATAAATGTTGTGCTGCAGCATAAACAGATCCCTCAACATCTTGATCGTCCTTATTATACACAAGTGCATTATGAAATACAAGACAAACGTCCTTTGCAAATTTCTCGTGCGATTTAAAGCGACAACGTGAAGGTTTCGAGCCTAAATGTTTCTTTATCGTGCCTAAATCCATGGGCTTTTTAATCACTTTGTCATATCCAGGAAGATTCACACGTGACATAAAGACCCATGACCAGCTTTCTTGTACACGTGGATTGGTTAATAACTCGAGTAATCGCTCACATTCGGCATGTGCAACCTCCGAGATCATAATGAAGACACGAGAAGTGACGAGAGACAATCACTCTTGTTTCTTCAAGGGAAATTTCATACTGAAGGCATGTGAAGGAGAAGCGATCGATATGGATTGGCTAATAATAACGTGTAGATATGGATATAGTATCTACCAATTAAAAGACAGTGTTCATGTCGAATACAAACTTTCAGGTACTTTTGTTTCAAACACATCTCGTCAAACATGGCGTCAGCAGGTGGAGAACGTTTATCAAGCAGTGAGTTTAAGAAGAAACGTGAGATTGAAGAAGCACGTAAGAATGGGACACTTCCACCTGAACAGGATGCAGATGGTAATCTTATTAATCCGCATAATCCTGAATATATTAGCAAAAGACCATGGTATTTAGGTGATTCAGGACCGTCCTTGAAGCATCAGACATTACAGCATCAAGCTCATTTATTATCAATTTATGAAGCAGATGAGATTTATAGTAAAGGAAAGAGAAAGATTATTCATCCGTCAGCTGTAGGATCAGGTACATCAGGTACAATAACGACACCGATTCGACAGCGCAAGTGGCGTAAAGGTGCATGTAAAAACTGTGGTGCTAGGAATCACAAGACAAACGAGTGTGTTGAACGACCACGTAAAGTAGGCGCTTGGAAGACAAACGATGATATTCAAAATGATAATGTGGTTGTAGATGTACGTTCAGAAAAATTTGGAAAGCTTGCGTTTGATGCAAAGCGTGATCAGTGGCTAGGCTATGATCCGAAGGAACATGCCAAGACTATTGCACGATATGATAAAGTAGATGCAGCTCGTAAACAATTGCGAGCTGAGGAGATTAATAAAAAACTGAATGAGTCAGTGGATCGAAAGACAAAGAAAGAAAAGAAGTTGCGTGTAAAGGACGAGGATAAGGACATGGCGTCGAATTCTGACTCGGATTCCGACTATGAGTCAGATATGGAGTCGGAGGATGAAGAGTTCCGTGATCGTGATGAAGGACCTATGTTTACAGAGCGTGTAGCACGACAGGGAGGTGTAGGTGGTGCTCAGATGAAAACAACGGTGCGAAATTTACGCATTCGAGAAGACACGGCCAAGTATCTGCGCAACTTGAATCCAAACTCTGCTTACTACGATCCAAAAACACGTTCCATGCGCGATAATCCCAACCCAGAGCTCAATCCAGAAGACACTACGTTTGTTGGTGACAACATGGCACGTTATACGGGCGATGCACAGAAATTAGCATCGGCCCAGCTTTTTGCATGGGAGGCTTACTCTAAGGGCACAAACATTCATTCGCTTGCAAACCCATCGCAGGCTGAGTTTCTGAAAAAGCAGTACGAAGAGAGAAAGGCTGCATTGGAGAAGGAGAAGAGTCGAAAGATTCTCGACAAATACGGGGGCCAGGAACATTTGGAAGCTCCACACAAGGAGCTTTTGTTGGCGCAGAGCGAGCATTACGTCGAGTACTCGCGCGACGGCCGCGTCGTCAAAGGCCGTGAACGAGCACCAGCACGCTCCAAGTATATCGAGGACGTTTATGAGAACAACCACACGAGCATTTGGGGCTCGTGGTTTGACCGCAGTGAAATGGCATGGGGATACGCGTGCTGCCACTCGAAGACCCGCAAGTCATACTGCACGGGTGATGAAGGAAAAAAGGCATTGCATGAATCGGAACCGACGAATATGGAGCGATCTGCGCTGAATATACCGGGGAAACATGAGCTTGGATCGAGCGATAAGACTGATCAAGCTCAAGCAGGTAGTGTTATTAGCAAGCGCAGCGAAATGTATGGTGAGAATATTGCTCCAAAACTAGATGAAACGAAGCTCAAGAAGGCTATGAAGAAGGCAGCTAATGAAAAGAAGAAACAGGAGAAGGATGACAAGAAACGCAAGTACAACTCGATGGGCAATTACGAGGTGAATGCAGAGGAGATGGAGGCGTACAAATTGCTCAAGTCACGCGGCGACGATCCCATGGCAAACGTGCTTGGTAACGACGTGCTGCTTGACGAAAATGAAAGTAATGAGAAACGGGCAAGGCGCTGATACTATTGATATTTTCTGGCATGATGGCCACGGGTACGATAGCCCCATCAACAGTAGCAAAACGTCGTAGCAAACAGTCTTCTATGGAAAGAGCTTGTCCAGAATCTGGATAGTCTCATCAGGGTTCTTGACTGAGTGACCAATGGTGCGCTTGCTCGTGTAGATCTCATAATCGTTGCCACCCTGAAAACGCCCGATCACGTTAGTTGGTAGTACGTACAAGGAAATAGCAATTACAAAACCATCCAAATCAAGCTTGCCTTGTTGGTCTTGTCACCAAAGAAGTGAATTTCGTCGTAGTCCTTGGCATCCAGATAACGGAGACAGAAAGTCTTGTCCCAGCCCTGCCATGTAACATGTTTGGGTTATCACAACTTCATGATCAGATACAAAAATCCATTTAGTAGTCATTTGTACCGTTGGGAATACATCAAATGAAATCTGTTGACCATCAATCATCACATCGATTAGTAGTTCACATCATGTATTGCTCAACCCAAATGCATGTATGTATATATGTTCAAGCGAACCACTTCTGTCGTACCTGTCCACCAATGGAAAAAGTCAAATTGTAGTCGGCAAACTCTGTCTGAAGCTTTTCAACAAATTGTTCACGAATCTTATGAATATGATCGTACTTTTCAAACTCGTCCCGTTCCTCCTGAGAACAATTGCGTCCAATGGGTGACACATTGATCATTCCCATGCGAAATTCCACAAACGTTCCACGTTTTACAGGGATATCAAGGTTTGCAATGTAACTCAGACAATAATTCACCAAGCGATTAAGTTGTGAGTTTGTAAATTGATTCTTGAGATTCTATCGAGAAGATAAAAGACAAGAAGAAATCGTCAGTAACACGAGATGAATCCATACAAACGTGTTGATGGGTTCCATGACTTGCCGTCTCCCCCACAAGTTTTCCATTATGGTAAGCTACTAGACCATTTTCTGAGAAACTGTAATCAAAATTATTGATCACTAATCATGTCAATAGAAATAGATATACAATGTCAGTATTTATTGATACAGCAATAACAAGATAGTAATGGATATACACACAATAACACACCATTATCACCCAATTGTTCCTTTTGTTTCGCGAGATCCGAGCCACCCACAACACCAATAGTAATACAATCACGAAGCTTTTGAAGACGAGTTAACATTTGAACTGTTGCAGATTGACGGGCAATAGTGAGTGTCCCATCAACGTCAAAGAGCGCGAGAATACGAGGATTTTTCTTAGTGGCCATTCGGATTATGTATGACAATGTATAAATAGAATTGTATTTCCAATTATGTATGTATGTATTTTATAATGCGACATGAATGAATTTGGATCAATAAGTGAGCTCCGAGAAATAATTGATCCCGTGCGTTTCATTGATGTAGGGACACTTATGCTATATCATAGGTGTACCAAAGGTCGCGTTCTTTTTCTTGTTATTTGAGAATATCATTTGAGAATATCATACTTGAATACCAGAAGTAGTAATAGTAGTAGTAATAGTAGAAAGTAGTAGTAATAGTACTTATTGAACTTACTAATGAAACCTTCTTTCTCATCTGCACGTATAACAGTTGATGAAGATAATGGACGACCAAGTTTTAATGATGATGGAGATGTAGTACTATGTACACTTCCTTCTAATATCAAGAAACATCATTCTGTCGATATTGTCAAGATCAAGTCACTATCATCCTCATCGTTGCATGTATTATTTCAAGGTGCTTCTCAAGCTATTTTAGCAGGTGTTGTCGTCTCTATTGGTACTATTTAGACCTATTTTTTATATATGTGATATGTTATGTATTATTGTGTTATTATTTTATTGTATTATTGTGTCTGAAAGTCCAATGTACTGACTTCTGTCTATCTATGTTATCTGATCCCTTTAATACCCAGTACTATGCCCAGTCATGATTGGTTTCGCTACGATGATCTTTAGTCATCCGGACTTTATACTGGTCCTCCCTATGCTTACTAAACTCATGTTTGTATCTAGTATAGTTCACCAGATTGTTATTACAAGTCTATCTCCTTTACCATTTGCCATTGGACAAGTCCAGGATACAGGAATGATTTTCTTAGCCAGCATGGCCTCATCCATTATGACAGAATTGGGACCCGCTGTCCCGCTTGCAGAGAGGATCTCGACTGTTCTCGTTCATTTGAGTCTTAGCACGATGCTTGTCGGGCTTGGGCTAGTGCTTACGGGCAAAGCGCGCTTGGCTTCGCTCGTTCAGTACCTCCCGACGCCAGTGATCGGCGGGTACTTGGCTTTTGTCGGTTTTTTTATGATCAAAGGAGGAATCTCACTTACTACTGGCGTGAGTCTTGCATCTGTCCAAGGTTGGATGGTGCTTGCAAGCTCATCTCATAACTTGATGCTGCTCGCACCAGGCTTAGCTGGCGGAGTCTTGTTGTCAGTACTGACCTCACGCTTTCGCCACTTTGCTGTATTTCCCAGCTGTATTTTAGTACTTCCTGCATTTTTTTTCTTCATGGTATGGGCCTCGAGCTACACTCTTGACGATGTACGCTACGCAGGCTTTCTTGAAGCCGATGGCACAGGTGTCCCGGTGATGGATGTATACTCGCTGTTTGATTTTCACCATATTCACTGGGGTGTGATGCCTGGACAGATCCCCACAATACTGAGCATGTTCGTGATGATTGCATTTGCGTCGTCACTAGATATTGCCTCCATCTGCATGGGGACTACCAGCAACATGAACTACAATACCCAGCTGCAGACCGTAGGCTGGTCCAATTTCGTAAGTGGAATGCTAGGCGGATACCCGGGATCGTACATTTTCAGCCAGACTTTGTTTGCTTCGCGGCTCCGCCCAAGCGCAGAAGCTGAGTCACGTTTTCCAGGTCTTACGAGGCTAGTTGGAATTACTCTCGCTTTATGCGAGTTCATTATCGTTGTCACTCCCATCTCGTTGATGGCAGTTGTACCAAAATTCTTGTTTGGGGCGGTGATGATATTTATTGGTATCGACTTGCTCAAGACGTGGCTAGTAGGAGTTTTCCACAAGCTCCTCTTCGGCGAATACTTGACGGTTGTTGGCACCTTTTGTTGTCTGAACATGCTTGGAGTTCAGTTGGGATTGGCCGCGGGAGTTGCGCTGGCAGCAATAAGCTTTCTAGTGGAATATGCCAAGGCCCAAGACGTTCGAATCGTGCACAAAACTAGCAACGTTATCCGCAATGCTGATCAGCATGCGTTGCTCTATGGCGTGAGCTCGAAAGCGATGGGCGATGAAAGTAGTAGCTCGCGACATCAGGATGCAATCGTCACTATTAGGCTGCAAGGCCATATCTTCTTTGGATCAGCAACGCGCATTCAAAATTGCGTCAAAAGTGCAGTTTACGTTTGTTCGTCACTGCATGGAGATAGCGACAAAAGTGCTAAAGCTACTGATGGAAATTGTTTGGGAGTCAACGTGCAGTCAGAGAAACTTCCACTTCTTGCAATCAAACGAGAAACATGCACGTACGAAACCCACTTCACGATGCCGCCTGCTTTAGTGAATCTACACGGGCAGGTGTGTGCTGACCATCATCGGCGACCTACACGGTTCGTTGTTCTGGATTTTTCCCAAGTAAGTGGGATGGATGCTACGGCAGCGCGTTCATGCTTCTTGGCGCTCAAGCTTTCATTCAGCCTTGGTAAGATCCGCGTAGTCTACTGCGGCATGATACCTAGTGTCGAGTTTCTATTGCGAGCGAACGACGTGATTCCCACGTCGACTCAGGAGGAGGATTTTTCTAACAACGAGACAAACTCAAGGGAGAGTCATGTCACAACTGACTTAGACCTAGCTCTAGCTTGGTGCGAGCAACAACTCATCTTTTCCGCAGCAACACAACAATCCACTTGTTTAGGACAACAGCTGGAGTTCTCACCACAGATTCCTTCTGCTCTAGTTCTTCCATCAGTATTTGCTGCTTATTTGTCGGACACACGAAAGAATGACCCTGCAGTATTGAACCACTTGGAAGAGCTATCTCAGCGGTTTGCTGTGAGTGAATGGGACGATCAGAATTATATATTCCAGGTTGGTGAAAGTTCCAACATGTGGTTTGTGCTGTTGCGAGGAACAGTCGAGTTGATGGCGATTCAAACAGACGCAGCCTTACTGTCCGACTCGCCAAAGTTAGAGTATGCCGGACCCATCCAGTTACAAGACTCGTCAACAAAGCTCGAGGAGACTCAACATATCACAGAGATGGAGATCGTGGGCCGAGTTCGGCCAGGTTGTATTTTCGGCGATATGGATTTCTTGCTGGAGCAGCCACGGGTATTAAACGCAATATCTACAGCACCAGACACGCTCGTAGCATCGTTCACAGTGGAAGAGATGGCCGAGCTGCGTAAAAGCCGACCTGAGTTGGCTTTACTACTTCATGAGATTCTCTTAAGAGCCTCGTACATGACTGTCGCGGAGAAGATCCATTCTCTCGCGATTTAAGATTGCTTATTACGGCGACAGCAGTGGATTTGTTAAAGAGAGGGAGGTACTGAGAAACCGTAACATGACAAGTAAATGATGTCGATAGATATTGAAACGTGATGTCGTTGGACTAGTTATCGATATCTGAATGCAACAAATAAATAATAACGACGACTTTAACAGCATCCAGGTATACAGCTTGGGCTTTTGTCAATATCGGTTATGTAATCCATCGACCAGTTTTACGATTGCTATTGTCTTGGACTGAAATCAATCAACACTTTGCTGACTGAAAACGTTGTAGAAAGAGTCCTTGACATCTCGCACCCATGTTATGGAATAAGCGGTAGTCATTTTAGACCAGTGGGAGAACAAACAAAGTTCGCTGAACTTGCTGAATGTCGTACTTTAGAAGAGGGAGCAGATACTTTGAAGGATGTGCTTTCTTTTTGAAGTGAAATCACAATCTATCTCCTTTTTTGAAAAAAGCACAAGTTTGAGCCATCTGTTGTTTGGTAATAAATATATTTTACCTGAAACATATTTTGCAGCCGAAATATCTTTCTCATGTGCTCAGACCACGACTGTCACCCATGCGTGTGCTTCATTGGTCAAAAAGCAAACACCCGAAACCGTTTCGAGTCAGCGCAAAAGGCATGACCGACTCCTGTACAAATCTTGAGTCCCCAAGTAATGGCATTCGTGGCCGTAATAAGAAGACCGACAAATCTATCGACATTGAAAACAACAGCAGCAAAAGTCTCAGCTCGTTACATACAAGTGACAATTCGTTTGTTTCTACAGAAGAAGCTACGACCGCCTATTCAGTGTCATTAATTTCGGAAAAGCAAAAGAAAATCTCATCGACACCAACGACATTTTCCAATGTAGATAGTATTCTTTATTGGTGGAAATCAATGCGTCTACAGTTTGGTGATGGTCTATTGTTACAAATCTTCTTTGTTTACTTTACACAAGGTGTCCGTAGTACGCTCTGCTCATTGGGTACGAGTTATTACTTGAATGAGACGTTGGCACTACCTCCAGCACAGTCCGAGTCACTGCGTGCCACTGCCGCCATTCCATGGATTATCAAACCACTATATGGTATGCTGTCGGATATTATACCTATCTGTGGGACACGTCGCAAGTCCTATCTACTCATCTTCAGTGCCATCTCGGCCATCGCCTACTTCACGCTCTCCATACCTGGACTCATTTCAACGTACGAGAGTGCCCTGATTGCACTTGTGGTTGCAAGTCTCGGTATTGCATTTTGCGACGTTGTTATTGATGGAAAAGTCGTTGAAGCTGCACGCAGCGAGCGCGAAGACATGGCCGGCAACCTACAGACACTATCATGGATCTCGCTGTCGGTCGGATCGGTGCTGGGCTCGATGGTGTCGGGCTATGTGCTCGATAACTACGGTCCGCTGGGTGTCTTTTTCATCTCTGCAATGGGTCCAATGTGCGTGGTGCTGTTATCTATCAAGGTTCCGGAGGAAAAGTATGTTCCGCAAGGAGAACTTGGGTTCTTTCGAACTGTGCAGGACCAGTGTCGTGCCTTGGCATCTGTAGCGGTGGACCCCATTTGCTGGCGCCCTATGCTCTGGATCTTTCTGTCTAATGCACTACCTCCTAGTGTGGGAGAAGCCATGTTCAGTTTCAAGACCGTCGAGTTGGACTTTTCCAAGTCCTTTTTGGGCTTCATTTCCACTGTGGGCAGTTTTACCCTCCTAGGTACAACTGCTGTCTACAACGCTTACTTTCGCGACATGCCATTCCGTCGCATGTTCTTCCGCATCCAGCTGGCATCAGCCTGTGTATCGTTTGCAGAGTTCGTACTAGTCTCGCGTGTGAATTTGATGTTTGGCATTAGTGACCGATTCTTCATCTTCGGTGACGAAATCCTCTCGGACGTGGTGGCTCGTCTCAAACACATGCCGTCACTTGTATTGTGTGCCAAGATTTGTCCACCGGGTATTGAGGGCACTATGTTTGCGCTGCTCATGTCTATCTACAACTTTTCATGGTCTGTTGCCTCATTCGGTGGCTCATGGCTATGCAGCTACTTGCAGATCTCCAAGATCGACTTTGTGGGACTTGCCACAGCGGTGACTATTCGTAGTGTAGCCAAGGTTGTGCCGCTCTTCCTGCTGTTCATGGTGCCTGCGACAACCAACATCAGCAGTTCGTCCTTGGCATCTGAGACCAAGGATGCAAAGATGAGGAAAGGGGCCGAGTGTGACAGCAACAGTGACGGCGTGACCATTGACGTCAAGGTACAGTTGTAAACATGCTCAACAGTGACGGCGTGACCATTGACGTCAAGGTACAGCTGTAAACATGCTCAACAGTGACGGCGTGGCCATTGACGTCAAGGTACAGTTGTATAAATGCTCATGTAGCATTATGTCTGTCTAAAACATGATTCATTTGGGTTGTTTTTTTTGTGGATTTCACACGCGTTCACATTGATTCCTGAGAATGTCGCGGCAGGAGTTTCAGAAAGTATCTTTTCGCACTTGCCATGTCTGAAAAGTCTTTTCAGTTTCCAATTCGCTTTGCCACCTTCAAGCCTCTCTGCTTCCTTGTCAACTCCACATTTGTTATGCTAAACCTTTACCCTCCTGCAAACCGTGCCGCTTCGCTCCATTTCGTGCCGGAAATTGACCAAGCATGCCAGGCCATTCACGACGCTTGCAAAGGCATCGGGACAGACGAGCTGGGTCTAATCGCGGCACTGGGTACCAAGTCCACGGACCAGCGCTATCTCATATCAGTCCGCTATAACGAATTATTTGGTAAGGATTTGAAAAAGGTGCTTCAACACGAGACATCAGGCGACTTTGGCCATTTGCTCCAGCTTCTCGCCTGTCCGCTACCTGAGGCCGAGGCTGTTATCGTCCGTAATGCTACAAAAGGATTGGGTACGAAGGAAAGTCTCATCTATCCTATTGTAATGGGCCGTACCAATGTGGAGATACATATTCTCAAGAAGACATACTACGACATGTACAGCAAGGATCTCTGCTCCGTGATGGAAAGTGAGCTCAGTGGCGACCTGAAGGAGGCTGTATTAGCCTCTTTACAGGCTTCTCTACAGGATTACAATCCTGCAATTCACACCCCGCAGAAAGCAGAGGTTGATGCCGACGTGCTTTACAATGCCGGTGAAGGCCACATTAGCACAAAGGAACATGAGTTTATCAATATATTGGTCACAAGTCCACCTCAGCACTTGCGTACCGTTAATGCCGTCTATGAGAAGAAGTACAAACACAATATCATTGAGGCGGTGAAGAAAGAGTTTCGTGGTGATGCAGAAGACGCATTACTTTTTTTAGTGCGTATGGTGCTGGAACCACTTGTGTTACTATCTGAGCTGTTTGAGGGGACGATGAAGGGCATTGGTACGGATGAGAAGGCACTAAGTGCAACACTCGTGCGCTACCATTTGGTACAACATGATATTCAATCGGTCTTTAAGATGTTGTATGGTAAACACTTGCGTGACCGGATTCAAGGCGAAGTCAGTGGTGACTATGGAAAACTCGTTCTTGCAGTCTTTGATTCTCCAATCTAATGAGCTCGAGCGTTATGTCTTTCACGACTCTTTCTAACAATGTACATGAGCTACAGAACACACGCTTTGTATGTATGTATGGATTCATTCTTACATGTAAATCGATTCTAGTTCTTCATGCAGTTTCTCGCTTTATCAAACGTCGATATTATCACGAGCACTGCATTCCTTCTTACGATGTCACGCGTCATTCCTACATACCACAACTCTGTTTATAATCCTGTTAATATTGAATAAGTTCTCTGCATTGAGTACTTGGCGTGATTCATTAATGACTGTTACCAGTTTGACAGGATGTCATTGCCTATTGACCCTCATTCAACTCACATCTCGATTTCTCGTACAAAAAGTGACACAGTTAACCCATGTGTGTCTATGTTAATGCTGCTTCCGGCAGGATCGCGTTTATCTGTTGGTATGTATTGTACTGAGAAGCAATACAGGCTTTGTAAAAGCAAAATGCTGAGGAGTCAAATTGATGCTGGATGTGTGAAGCAACAGTTGCAACCAAGCCGAATCGTACGGTGCACAACACCATTACACGATTGTTTGCTGATAAGCATTTGTTCTCGTCTTGAAACATAGGAATTGATTCCACACACAGCATCACAGCATTACCATGCTTCTCATTTTCCACAATGTTCTGAACTCATTCGCTCTCACGATATACTATCGTTTAATGCATTTTTGTGAGCTTTTGACGATGTCCTTCGAGATCCTGGCATATGCTGACCTTTCGGGTCTTTTGCAAGCACAGCAGAGAAGAAAGCATCCTCGATGATACTGATGCATACCATCAGGACAACGTAACTAAACAGAATCATGTAGCTGTACACATAAATTTGCCCGATCCAAGGAATGTACGCGACGTCGACAAATGTGTCATGAATTTCGTCTCCATTTGCCACGGAAAATAATGTAGTCGCTGTGACACTTGCACTCTGGAATCGAGGTACCTTAGCACCAAACATGACGGTTCCAAACAGCACAAATCCAACAAATATAGGCAGAACGCCAAGGAGGAATTGCAACACTCGCGGCAAGCCGCGCCGCAATGTGTGTTCAAGGATGCGAAATCTCGTGTTCACCTGTAAGTATCGTACGAGGCTGCTCCACTGCAACGCACAGCAGCAGGCAAACGTAAAGCACAGCGTATCATTCAAAGAGAGTTGGTAGGCGTGCCGCCACGTAGCCAACAGACACACCACGGTCGCGAAATTGACAGCAAGGACTAACCAAAACCAAAAGTCTTTTGCCTCTTTGCTCAAGGCGTGCGTGATGGGGTTTCTGCCGATGGGGTGAGAAGGATACTTTGCAGCATCAGTCTTGATGGTCGTCCACTTCACTGCAAACTCGACTGCCTGCAATACAAGAAATTGTTAGCCACGTAATTTGAACACACTATGTACTACTTCCACTGCTTGCCTGGTAGAGTCCAATCACTGCCAGCATGACCCAATTAAGGGCCACGCTGGTATCCAGCAGCACTAGTGGTATGTCTTGCTCTCCTTCTTTTCTCCTTCCATCCTCCATCAACGGTACATGGACAAGATCATAATTCAAAGTAACTTCCAAGTGGCCTCGGTTCAGCAGGTCATAGCGCATCACCACTGTCCACTCGTAAAGCTTGTCAGCTTCTACGTCTTCCGTCACCATCGTCTCTTTCCTTTTCATACCCACCACTACCTTGAGCTCCATGACGTCTAGTACATCGAAGAATGCGCGCGTCTCCTGTTGGCTTGCAGAGTCTTTGCCCATCCGCAGCGGCGCCGGCCACTGACCGCTTGCTGAGGCGTTCGTAATGTTGTACACTTGGTCCATTGTCTCGTCCTCAATGTCCGCCCGGACTGTGAGCAGCGGAGGTGGAATGAATGGCAACATTGCTGACGTCTCGTTGTCGAAGATCAAGTACGAATCCAGCGCCACATCCGCTAGTCGAAAATAGTTGAGCACTACCCCATGCAAATGCTGCCGCGTCTCCTCAATCGTAAACAACGCGCCCACTGGTAATGCCGATGCCCTTGCCGCAAAGCCCCCACTAAAGAGCTGATCGTCCACGTTAGCCGCGATTTCCTCCTCCATTTCAAGCAAAAAATGCGGCAGTGTCACAATTTCCTCCTTCTCCGCGATCTGCTTCCTCGCGTCTACGTAAAACAGCAATCGCACCCATTCATTTGCAATTGAGCGCTCAAATGGATGCAATGAAGAGTCAAGTTGAGAGATACGAGAGCTCAGCAGTAGCGCCGCAGCCACGTGCAGCACCATGCGAAGAACAGACAAAGACTTGACTAGCTTTGTCATTCGTCTATGATACAAAACAATAACTGTTCATTACTAGACAATACAAGTTGATTGGATAAAATCACCAGAAGTTGTAGCTGATAATTGATTCCAAATTATTTCTAATTATTATCAAACCCAATTCAATGAAATGGTATCAATGTATGTATGTATACATAGACACCTAAACACACCATTTTTGTGTGGCTGGAATGAGAAATTCCTCTTTTGGTATGGTCGTACCTAAGGTATGGGCTACTTGTGGCAGCACACAGTACTTAGCTAAGTAGTTTCGTTGACACATTAGTTTTTTTAGCTCTCTATAAGGCTAAAGCCTTCTTAATTATAAAAAAGTCGTAAAGCTCGTAGAGCTTGTCTTTCTATAGCAGAGCTACCGTAGCCGAGCTACTTATGCACTAGGTGCAGAGGAAAACAAGCTCAAAGAGCTTATACGTCTTAGGGTTCTTAACCCTCCCAAGGCTAGCTTTACAATCTTATGCCTTTTGGTTGTGAACAACCACGTCTCCAAGAGAATAGTATCAACGATACAATTCCTTTAGAAGGAACAGAACGCTCTAGCACGTATGCTATTCAGAGCAGGCTTCAAACTGATTTATTTATGTCTATCTTCTAGCACCAAATATAGAAGCACCTACTCTATGCTTAGTGCTAGTCACTATTTATCCGGCTCTGTAGACTATTAATATATAAACATGTATAGTCACTATACTAAGTTAAGTATAGTGACCACGTGACTCTCTGCGGACGATGCGACCCTTCGTACCTTAGGTGCGATCACATCAACCTAGCACTGTACCCAAGGTGCAGCCACACCACATTGGTGTGGCAGGTATGTATGTAAAATACACACTTTTGTATAACCCGTTACACCTCCCCCATCAATCTGTGGGACCCGACGATTTTCGAACTCATAGCAAAAGTTCCATTGACTTCATTAATGCTTTGCTTGTATCGCAATAAAGTGCCTCTCACTTGCGCCCAAAGCTCCTTTCGTGTTCCAACACTTGCTCTCTGAGCACTCAGTGCATTGCCCTCACGCTAAAGCAACTTATTGCGTACGAACACTTGATTATTTAAGCGTGAAGTGCCTAGCACTTGTTTTTTAAAGCATTCCAGTGTTCTGAACACTTGCTTATTAAACTTTTGAGCATCTAAGTACTTACTCACACAGCACCGTAGTATCAACACTAGCTTATAAGCACATCAGTGCTTAACACTTGTGTGGTAATACACTTCAAAAATTTGGGAACCCGAGGACCGATGGGCCAAAGAGAAAGGGGACCAAAGAAGAGAAGCGACCGTTTGACAATGGATTAAAGATCAAGGGCACTACAAAGGGAAAGCGTTTGTTGGATGAGAAGAATTTGCGGTAAAAGGTTTACTGCTGGGGCACCGGTAAACCGGCTTTGAAAGGAGTAGACCGCGGTTTCACATCGGTAGACCGTAATCCCTCGAGGTGGACCTCGGTCCTTCAAGGTTGACCCTGGTCCTTCGTCAGTCGACCTCGGTCTCTCAAGGTAGACCTCGGTCTCCCGAGGTGGGCCCTCGACTCTGGACCCTCGACCCTGGACCCTCGTCTTTCGACCTTGATCCCTTAAGGCCAAGCTACCCCGGCCAACCAGCAATATTGGGTTTCAGGCAAGGATAGTGTAAAAGAGTTAAAGGATAGGAAACTATAAAATCTACATCAATTTGCGATCTACGTGGCACGACTTCGTCACGCTTATTAAGAGCTTGTATAATTCCACCACCTGTTTTCGGAAGGGATACATTTTGGACCCCCTGTGGTAAGACTCAAGTACAAAGAGAGTCCAGGATATATTTGACCTGTGAGTTTGTCTGAGTAGCACCTTCTCTTGATCAACCCGCTATCGGAAGCGGTCTCCCTGCCCTAGTGGTTCGGGAGCAAGTAAAGGCCAGGCGGTTAACACCCCTGAGATATCAAGGAAAAAGGCCAGGGTTGAGAATCTCCCCTGAAGAACTTTGTTATAAGTCTACCCTCAACCTAGTCAACCGAGTGGCTACCTACTAGCCTACCGAGTGAAGCACATACACTCGCCCCCAGGTTGACCTCTTTCTAGGCCGACATTTACATCTCCACCAAGTCCTCCGAAGAGTGCAACCCGCCAGCCGACGGGTACACAAGGTGAGAGAAGGTCGATACGCGGCATCGGGGTACCCCCTCCGACAGTCGGCAGTACGTCACACTGAGTGGTTTGGGGTCTCATCGCACCGTTTTGAGAACCCACTCCACCACACTTCCTCATAAAGCACATTAGCGTTTATCACTAGCTTTTCAAGCACATTAGTGTCTAACACTAGTTTATATATTCACCATAGTATTAATCATAGCTTATAAAGCATATTAGTGTCTAACACTTGCTTATAAGGCACATCAGGCAAACTCACCAAAGGCCAGCCATACTAAGCGAGGGTTCCACCCTTTGACACGTTTCACGTTGATGGATACTTACCGACTCGTTTATACAGCCTGGACCACCAATAATGGAAGGACCGACCAGGGGTCCGGTCAACATGGTTAAGGTTGAACCTTATTGATGAGATACCAAAATATTCTTCTTATGTCCTATCTTGACTCATGACATCTCCAGAGAACCATCAGCCGACCGTAAAACGAGAGGCTGAAATCCCCAAACAAAAATAAAGATTGTCATGTCCAAGCCCAGAAAGTTCATGGTGTCAGGTGACGCCAAGTTGGTAGGCCCCGCGATGTCAGTACCGTCGACATTGTCGGACGCTGACGTGAGCATGGCTTACCATAGACACAAGATCAATGCGCTCTTGAAAAGCGATACCGTCACAAAAACCCCGAGATCCGATTGCTTGGATAGCTCAGTGAACCGGTGTCGACCCTTCCCAAGCTGCGGATGGTCGAGCAAGACACCCTATGAGATCGTGCACAGGTCCAAACCCAGTGTGAAACACATGCGTTTTTTTGGGTGCCGGACGTACGTTCTGACTCCTCAAGAAAAACGACTCAAGTGGGATGCCAAGGCTCGTGCAGGTATGTTCATGGGATACGAAGAGGTATCAAAAGCGTATCGAGTTTGCAATATCGAGACAGGACAAGTGGTCATCAGTCGCGATGTCACCTTTGACGAGACGATCGTTGGTATTTCGACTATGAGTGCAAGCGATGACGACGAAGATGCTACGCTGGACTTCAGTGGACTCGACATCAGTGATGACAACGGAGGTCCATCACAGTACCAGCAGACTGGAAAACTCAAGGACCGTTCGAGTGACGCCAACAGCAAGGATGCCTACTCGCGTCCTGCTCATCATGGTGCTAGCCTTGAAGAAGAAAGTGCTCCTGATCGGCGCATTTTGGCGCCAAGTGAAGAGTCGACCAGGCATGCATGCTGGACCTGATCTGTCAGAAGAAGAAGAAAAGGACAACCATGTTGATGAAGATAGCGACTCGACTCCTCCAATGTTCTGGCGAGCAAGTGTCAACGCAGTTGAAGTGAGTGATCTGTTATTGAGGGTTACCGGTACAATCCAAACTCTTAGGCATAGTATTTACGGCAGAGTTCTTACAGATAATTACGTCATAGTTGATTAGACGAGTAGCTTGATAGGAAGATCTACATATTTATATGTGGACTACATATGAATCAGGACGTGAACAGTCGCAGCTGATTTATATGTGGACTACATATAAATTGGTCGGTAGATAGAACAAGCTCTTATAAATCAGTCACTATCCAATTTACCTTATTCAGCATAAGTCGTCTCCACCGTTCAAGTGCAGACTTCCTCCGCCTTTTCCAAGCTTTGAAAGACCAAGTTTCATACCTTCCATCGGGTTATGAGCCCAAGTACAATGTTCACTGCCCAAGACGTATCCTTCAAGGTCTCTATCGATAAGTTCGATGGGGACAACTACGCGATTTGGAGTCGTTACATGCGTGGCGTGTTCCTGACCAAGTCGGTCTGGCACGTCGCTAACCGTGAGACGACGCCGACCTTCGCGGACTCTCGTCCCATGGAAGATTACGTCAGGTCGAGCAACATCGTGTTTGGACTGATGTTGCTCCACATGGACGCTGAATATCATCACGTGGTTGATGATTGTGAGGAAGGATGGGTCGCATGGGCGCGTTTGAAGACGCTTTACGGTGGATCGCAGAAGGCTGGGCGCATTTTTCTGAAGCGTCAGATTTTCAGTATGGAGATGAAGGAAGGCGGCAATGTGATGCATCATTGCAACGAGGCTCTCAACATCATCGCCAAGCTTACCAGCATCGGTGCCAAGATGGAGGACGAAGACGTGGCGATCTGTTTGTTGCGCAGTCTCCCCAAGAGCTACAAGAATGTCGTGTTGACTTTGGAGATGAACAGCACTGAATTCCGATCAAGAGACGTTGTGAGGGTACTTACGAATGAGCACATCAAGAGGCAAGGCGAGAAGACTGTATCGGTGAAAGTTGAAGAAGCAGCCAAGGCTTTCAGCACCGGGCGCAAACCTCGCCAGTGTACGTACTGTGGAAAATTGGGTTACACGGCAGAGCGGTGCTGGATCAAGCAGAAGGATGAGAATCAAGGTGCTTGACGCGGCGGTAACAACTGAGGACGCGGAGCCAATAATGTGCAGTGGCGAACCAGCAGCAACAACTACGACGACGATTACGATCGAGTAGCGTTTGCGGTTTCGCTGGAAGCAGGACTATCGACGGGCAAGAGCATGCCTGGAATGTGGGCGATTGACAGTGGAGCAACGCACCATGTATGCAACAACAAGGCCAAGTTCACGACGCTGAATGAGCAAGATGAAGGTGAACTGTTGGTGGCTGACGGCAACAAGGCCGCAATCAAGGGTGTGGGAACCATCATCGAACGAGTGGTTCTGCCCAACGGCGAAGAGCGCGACATCAAAATCAAGGATGCGTTGTTCGTGCCGAAGATGAACAAGAATCTGCTATCGGTGCCGCAGATCAACAAGAGTGGCAAGTTTCAAGTGGTGTTCGACGGTGCGA